TGAGCCGTATCGAGGTCGAACGTTGGCCTATGTAGAAGCGGGAACGTGGGCTGAAAACGATCGAAGTAAGCTGATACAAATTGAGGAAGTTTGAATAGCCATGAAATGCCTCGTGATGCGAAAACTTGTGAAATCGGTGTTGACTGAGGCATTGACACCATTAGATTGCAAATAGGTTGGGCTTGATGAAAAGAATACCTACACCTTCGCCATTTGAACGATCGATAGAGCGATTGGCTTCCGCTGCTTTGGTTGTCTCTTTTGTTGGCTCGTCGGCTGGCGCAGCATTACTGGCAACATGGATCGTCTCACCAGTGCGACCGGGGTTTGCGTGGTATCTTCTCACGTGGCGTTTTCTCAAATCACTAACATAAGTCAACTCAGTGTCTATCAGAAGATCAAAGAGATTTGATGTCCTGAAAATAGTGTCAACCTTCTAGAGAAGCTAACTTCACACTGTGGACATGGGAACGGCCTCAGATTTGATCGCTGATGAACTGCTTCCGTCAGTCTGGCTCGTCTCTAAATCATTGCGACTTATCATTTGATAGTCACCTGATGCTGTATGACGATTTAAATTCTCCTGCTGACTGTCAATCTTTTGTATTGGGGGTTATCGGTCGATGGGAGAATCACCTGCCGGGTGAAGCGACTTGAGCACGCGGGACATAGGAATGGCTTGTCGTTTGATTTGGTAGGCATTTCTACACTAGGCGTCATGACAATGATAAGGTTTCAATGTTAGCACCGTCATCAAGCTTCTGTTTTCACTCTCGATTGTAAAATAAAGATTTATTCTACGAGGCTTCAAGATTCACTGCCAACGATGTCTCACAGCAATCGTGAGAGCATTGAAGCCCGACGGGCATTTCGTGATAATAGAGTCAACATGATAGGACAATCGTCTTCTCCGCAAAATGTGGGTTCACTATTCTTATCGTTCCCAGTTGCACGCTTCTCTATTGCCCAATGCGGCCGCACCGGATAATGTGTCCCAAGTCTTGAACCTAAAACAAGTAAGTACCTTACCGTAGTAACCATGGCAAGCCGGATTCCTCGTTTGAAGGATTTCATGCAGCATGACGAAGCCCGAAAGGCTTGAAAATGATCAAGGCAAATGAGATGCGAAAAAGGGGCTGGCTGGAGCTCACCGAGGAGGAGCCCCGACCAAGGTCGCAGGTGACGGCCTGATAAGCTTCAGTGCCGGACTTCAATGTCTGGGGAAGAGGTGCCCCACCTGGGAGGAGCTCCTCTCAGCCACCCACCATCTCCTTACCCCACGAAGATACAATGCAACCTCGGGAGGCGTGACAAGCCCGGGCTGGATTGGCGGTGCGCTCCTCTTGGATGAGTTGGGAGACCCAATTGGAGGACGACTGAGAGGTTGAACCGGTTGGGCTCGCCAGAAAACATGTTGAGAGGACTCAGAGGAGGAACACGTTAAGGAGAACCTGCAGTCACGCAGCATGAATGGGTAGATGAATGATCTACAGTTCGGCTCCAGCGTTTGGGACATTGGTAGGGGTTAAGAGTCGCTGTGACAGGGCATGCAGTAAGAGTGCGCTTGTTTGGTAGCTGCTTTCCACAGAAATGCAACTCGCGATATTATAATAGGTAGTAAAGATCCAGCTCGGTTGCTCAAGTTAAGATCATCAACTGTCCAAAAAGGCACACACGGAAAAGTTCTTCGTTCGCATCTTCAGCTGTACTAAGTGCTATCGCCAGAAGTTTTCCATCTTACCATCAGAAGCTTTCCATTTCATCCAGTGTAGAGACTATGTCCCTTCCTCCATTCACACCCGCTCCACCCACCAAGGAGAAGTGTAGGTCTTACCCTCCAAAGTCGAATCAATCCATCCACCTTAGTTAGCTGACTTTAACACGAAAAGTGGACTATGTCAAACTCGTGAATCTCGACCTGTCCAAGTTTGACACCCAAGCTGGCCGACAAGAACTTGCAAAGGATCTCTATGAAGCTGCCACTGGTTACGGCTTTCTCACTTTGAGCAATCATGGTATTTCCGATGAAGTTTACGCTCGCCAAATGCAGATTGCAAACGCCATGATGACCCTCCCGGCGGAAGAAAAGGCGCCTTATGAAGGTATCTACAGCTACTTTCTCGGTCCAAGATAGTGTAAGCATTGACACAGTGCGATAGTAACTCCAGAGGAAGATGCACGGGGACTATATGTTGGGTACAAACCTGCTGGTCCCCTTGGGCATAAGGGAGGCTTCCCTAAACAGCTGGACCATTACAACATTCTTGTTCACGATCCGCTTGACCGCCCTCATCCTGAGATTATGCGACCGTATATGCAGGAGACACAAGAGGTGATGCAGTTCATTCGCAGCAACATCCTCAAGAAACTGCTGACTTTGGTGAGCTCGCCCCTCAAATCTCGGACATGGCTCAGACTGATCACTTGCATCATGGTGATTAGGTCGCTATGATCTTGGAGGTCCCTGAAGAGGTCATTCAAGCAACGCATGCACCCGGAGGCTCCAAGACCGAGTACATCCGATACATGATGTGCGAGCCGCGGTCCAAAGAGGAAAGCGAGAAGTACCGCGATATCTTCCTTTCGGGGCACACTGATCTGGGCACCTGGACCTTCCTATTTTCGCAACCCATAGCGGCACTTCAGGTTCTCGACCACAATGATGGGAAGTATCGATGGGTTGAACATCAGCCTCATGGTCTGGTCGTCAACTTTGGTGATGCCCTTGCTCGACTGACCGGAGGCCTGTTTAAGGCCACTATCCATAGAGTTATCCGTAAGTGACTGCTCTCTGCAAAGATCAACCAAGTACGTAATGACTAATGTTTGATATGCAGAACCTCCCGAGGATCAGCGTCACCTTCGTCGTATCGGAGTCATCTACTTCTCTCGTCCGGCTGACGAGCGAGAGCTGGTACCCATAGAAGGCTCTCCCCTCCTTCAGCGACTTGGTCGCGATAAGCCGATTGATGAGCAGGTATTCTGTATGGCGGATTTCTTAGACGCTCGAAAACATGGGTTCAAGCGTTACGAGTATGATCTTGATCGTCCACGAGACACTCAGAAACATGCCGACTTCTTCGCTGGTGAATATCCTGACCCCGAAGGCCATCAGAGCCTCGGCAAATTCGACAACGTTCCTCGGGAGGTTTATGTGCCCTCTTTGAAGGCTAACTAAGTTTTGGAAGCTGGAAATTGCAGATGGAAGCTGAAAATAGTGGATTCATCACGCGGAATTATCAGGTAGAGATGACTCTATAGTGTTGAACAAGGCCCCTCAGATTGGTTTATGCCAAGGTAGCTTGACCGCAGGTATTACTTCCCAAAGCGATCGAATTGCGTGGTGCTCTCAGCATGCTATCAGATTCGAGATAAAGGCGGAGAGAGTCTGTGATATCTCTGGCGTCAAAAAAAACCGTGTCTCTAGTCTTCCTTTATTCCTGCTCTGTTCCAGGATCATTAATAGGGGGATTCAAGCATAGATCATACTGGGTGAAGAAAAACCAAAGACAATTATAAATTCGATCACACTCTCATTCATCATCGGACCAAATACCGGATCGATGAGCATACTGAGGGGCTGTTAGCTACCGACCTGGAATACCTGGAACACACCGTGAGGTGTAAGGTATGGTGATTTCACCTTGCGTCGAGATTGTGTCGAGATCGACGGGAGGAGCTCCTCCAAGAGGTTGACCCACCCACCCCTTTCAACACATGGTCTTGGCTTCCAACCACGCACATACAAGTAATGATGGCACTGGAAAGATTGAAACGTCCCGCTTATCTTAGAACCAGCAACAACAGTAGGACAACTTGGCATTAGCGCATGTTCGAAATGAAAGTGTGGCCGGCCTAGTGCTTTATCTATGGGCGAGATACTTCAAGACTTCCAAGCTTCTTGGCCTTACTCACTCTAGGTGATTGGTATTTGGCAAGTAGTATCAAGACCCCCAAGTTTTGCTTAACCTTGATCATGGAAGCTACTTGGGAGGGCGGGGCACCATCCCCTTATCCCCGAGCCTGGTATGATTCCTTATGTTCAGGGGGAGGCATCTTGGAGTAGCAGATAAGCCAATAATGGCGACTTCCTTGAGAGGACAGTGCACCGAGGGCAGTTTAGACATAAGAAGAGCTCTTCGACCATTTCCTTATATGCGCCCATTAACTTCCAAGTGAGCATAGCTCCCGGACCTTGACTAGCGCCTAGTGGCTCTTCATTTCACTCGTCGCATCACCAGCTGAAACAGAAAACTTCAGCAGTTACGATGGGGTTTTTCTCTTCATTGAGGGAGCACTTCAAGGGTGCTTCCACTCCATTGGAGAGAAAGCTTGTTCTCAAGTTGGACTTTTTCATTCTCACTTTCTGCTGTTTAGGTATGTTCATGCTTGTCAACCTTATGTGGTCTAATTGCCGCTTCTGACATTGAACAGCGTATTTTATGTGAGTGGATGGCTTAGCAACATTGATAACAGAGATACTCATGAATGTGGCTCGAATCAGGAATTACCTTGATAGAGCCAGCATAACCCAAGCATACGTTTCTGGAATGAGAGAGGACTTGGGCTTCAAAGGTGCTCAACTGACTGTCGTAACGACTCTTTATGCGACGGCGTACCTCATGTGAGTTCTGGCAGCCACGCATGAGACACCAGACCCTGAAGATCCGATGACTGACCTTTCCTTGCCACTTTTAAGAGGCATTGTCCCCAACAATTTGCTCTTGACTTATTTCAAGCCTCGAAACTTCTTCCCTTTTATGATCACAACCTGGGCAGGAATTACTATGCTAAACGCGGTGGCAAAGACTCCACAGCACCTGATGGCTATCCGATTCTTCCAAGGATACTTTGAATCATGCATTTTCGCGGGAACCCAGTATATTCTCGGATCGTGGTACACCAAAAAAGAGCTTGGTCAACGCACGGGATTCTTCACAGCTAGTGGTCTAGCAGGTGGAATGTTTGGCGGCTTCTTACAGAGTGGTATACATTCGTCTATGAACGGCCTGCATGGTCTGCCAGGTTGGAAATGGCTTTTCATTGTAAGTTTATGACTAATGCCAGCGTCTTTCTACCTAGACTATCTGCTAACTGCGCTCAGATTTCTGGCATTATCACTCTGCCTGTTGCTGTCTACGGATACTTCTTCTTCCCCGATACACCCCATACGACCACCGCATTCTATCTTAGCGAAGAAGAAATTGCTCTTGCAAGAGAACGAGTGCCAATTCACGAGGTTGACAAGACGGAGAGCATCCTCTCCAGGTCTTTCCTCTCTAGGGTGGTCCACTCCTGGTACTTCTACGCCTTCTGCTTCCTGTGGATTCTGGGCAACTGCTCCGAATCGCAGTCTAACCAGTCACTTCTCAACCTATACATGCAAGCTCATCCGACAGAGAAGTACAATCTTTACCAACGCAACAACTATCCCACTGGTGTACAGGCCATGGGCGTGACGAGCACCCTGTTGTGGGCCACGTCAACCGATATCTGGGGTAGGCGATGGCTGTCGGGTTACTACGTCTCCTTCACGGCCATTGCCAATGCAGCAATCATTCTCGCCCCAACTTCGACGGCAGCCAAGTTTGGGGCTTACTACTGGGCTGGCTCGATCTACTGCATTCAAGCCACCTTCTTCGCGTGGGCCAATGACTCGATGCGAAACGAGTCGCCGAGACTACGATCCTGCGTTATCGCATGCATGAATGCGGCTGGCAACTGCTTCCAAGCTTGGTGGCCACTCATCTTCTACAGGGCCGATGACGCTCCAGAGTTCAGGGTGTGTATAGTAGCTGTTGTTCATTGAAGACCCGGAAGTTAAACCTCAGGATCATGCTGACAGTATGACAGAAAGGAATGATTGCCATGATCGCTGTAGGGACAACCATGGCGATTTGGGTCACAGTTCTTATCTTGGTCGAAAAGCGGCGAGCGAAGACGGAGCTTCAGGTCATCGAGGCTGTTGCAGAAGAGCGAAGTCTGGGGTCGGAGGGGCCTACGAAGGTTAACTCCGCGAGGTTGGACAGCCAGATCTCCGACATTAAGCCGTCTTCACACTGAACAGATGTACTGGTCTTGGCATGGCATGAAGATAAGGGTGTATAAAGCGCGAGTATCAGCCTGACAGGTGCCAACAGTAGCCGAGGTATCACATTACTATTCATTACTCTCAAGGTCTACTCTTTATCGGAAAGTCTTCCAACTTCAAGCCTCAACGGTATTCTTGCTCACGACGCCCCTGGCGAATTCTCCGAATGTGAGATGCTGCTCTGAGTCAACCTCCTCGCCAAGATTAGGCTGCGTAAACACGGCCAGAGTGTTCCTCGCCACCCGGCCATTACTCATAGAAGGCCTAACTCCTCTCACAAAGTGTGGCACGGCCTTGAACTTGCCCTTTGTGATCCGTTCGAGTGCCTCGCCCGTCTGGAAAGCAATGCAATCCCGAGGAATCTTCACCTGAACAGTGTCCCCTGTTCTGGACTTGATATACAGTCCAGCCAGGGGATCAGGGCTTCCTGCCATTTCCTCCAGTGGTGAGAGTGCTTTAGCATCTTTCGCATGTGAAACTGAATCCGACGGTGTTTTGTGCTCATCGACAAACATTGCAGACGTCAAGGCTGTCAAAACCGAGTGATCGAGGTGCACGCCGCACCAATCGTCCTCGTTCTCGCTCGAGCCCTCCTGGGATTGCGGGTAATAGTGCAGCAATCTGGCCTTGGTAGTGTTGCTCGTGCTGACAACGTGCTCGACGTAGCCCTTTGTGTACCCCTCGATTTCCCGCTCCGCATATTGATCGCACGCTCGTGCAACAAGCACAGCTGTGTCGATCAAAAGCCTGCACAAGTCTTCTAAGCTGCGTTTGAAGCCTGGGAGAACCTTTTCTTCGGGCCAGATGTTTGGTGACAGATATTCCGGGAAATTGTCGGCTGAAAAGTCAGACGTTGGCTTCGCGGCATCTAATGCTGGATCGGTGTAGAAGGCGCAGTTGGCGTAGAAAGAGCCTTTGAATGTATCTACTTGTCCGTCTTTGAGTTGTTCCTTTCCCAGCGACCAGCCTGTCAGATACTTGGCGGCGGGGTTCTCGACCCTGTCTACATACCAGCATTAGTGGTCGTATTCTCTCAACTCAAAGGAGGGGGCAATTACCAAGCTCGGCTTTCGGCAAGTTTCCAAGATATGAGGCATAAGAAAGCGCTTGGCGTCTAAGCTCGGGAAACTCAGATGGGACGTTTTTCACAACCAAGATTCCTAGAGAGTCTGGCCCAAAAGCCTCGACGAGTCTCTCAAAAGGCACGTTTCCTGAGAACTATTATCAGCCAGGCTGAAAAGATTAGAAGAAGGCAAATTTTGAACTACCATTTTGCAAGTCAGCCAGCGAAACTACCACCGGCTGAGCAATTATTGGCGCACTCATGACGAAATTTAGTCGACTCCGAAAATTGATAAGAGGTGACAATATTTCGCAGCCGAGGAATTCAAGGAAGGGAGAGGAAGACGAGGCTCTCGAGGGTGTCTCCACGGGCTGTATCCTGTCTTAAATGTGTGACTTTCTAGCCCCTATTGTGTAACATAATGGAATAAGTTGGAACAACCTTTATAGTGTATCTAAGGTCTTGATCGTCTCATTGGGTAATTCTTACGAATCTCAGAGGGTTGGACCGGACTAAGTGGAGTGGAGGTGCTGGGACGTCTGTAGAACCACTTGCCACATTTGGCTTGTCAACCTTCGTGGGTCTCGCCCGATTGGCTAATATATACGAGGCTAGCCTATCAAATGAGAGCGTCCGACTTCGATTCAGGAGGGATCAAGCCTATTGGTTGTGACTGGCTAGTATTTACGATTCTCAAATACTTTCTACTTATACGAGCCGAGGTTCTATTCTCATGGATATCAACTTTCTTTTGTTTAGCAGAAGATTTACGGTCGGCTGCTGGACACTTCTTTTCTTTCTCGTAATGTAATCATCGAAACCAGGACGCTATCCTATTTTATGAGTCTTCTACGACTACCGGCCCCAGCAAGTGATCTTTGTCACATCCGCTCGCCTTACAGATCTTTGATCGTACATTAGATGTCGGTCGCAGCTTTGTCAGAACAGGCTTGCCATCTTGCCCCGGTGCTAGCCTCTGATAGACCTTATGAATCCTCTGCGTCTCTGGCACAGTCACATCCTTCAACCAAAACCATCTCGATTCCGGGGGAACGAATCCTGCCGCATCACGGCCAGTCTCCTCAAGCAGTAAGGCTCCTAGGATCCCGTCCATGTTTGACACCACATCCCAAGCGACCATCGACGGGGGTATCTCATGCAGTGCCTGCAATGCCGCCATGCGGATGTCGTGATTCCTGCAGGCGCGCACAACAGTACACAGCGGTAAAATAAGGCCCTGCCCCAGCAAGACAGACGTTGGGCGGGGTTGTGACACACAGTCACGATATAATTCAACGCAAAGCATTGTCAAATCCCTGAATTCGTTTTCGAATGCATCGTAGGCCACTTCGGTTGGGTCTAAGCAGCAAGTGAGTGTGATGTGGAGAAGGAGCCAGTGAATTTGGGCGATTCTAAGGCCTTTCTTGGTTGCGATATCTACTCTTGGACTCTCGGCATAGTATTGAATGACTGATCTCCATTGTTGTAGTTGCGAAAGGAAGTTTTGCTGGTGGATGGTGAGGTGACGGAGCATGTCCATGGAAATTCCCTCTGCAGTGACATCGGTAGAGTTGCTGATGAAGCTGACAGCGAAAGTGAAGAACCTGCCCCACGAAATGAAGAACTTTGAGATTGGTTCGTGCTGAGGATTATGGACGTCGGAGCCAGGATCAATCTTGAAAGGGTGCGCGTGATGGCGGCGAGGTTGAAGTGATTGTGAGAGCTGGCTCATGGCTGCTATGCACGGGAGCACATGCTCCATGTCGTTGAACTCGGAGTCACGATACTTTTCCTCACTATCGGGATCGCTTTCGAACATTGTAATTGAGTCTCTGAGTGCTCCTAGGCATGAGTTGAGGAGCATTTCGGCTGTCCTTGGTTCACCCTGGAGCAGCTCGTATACGACGAGTAGTAAAGTCGTGACAACTACCGTGGTTGGCGATGATGCCGTGATCAACTCCATTCGTTCTCTGAGAGACTTGACTGCTTTGAGATGATGTCGCAACGCGACCTCACGATGTTCAGTTACAGCGTGACCATCCGAGGCAGGTGGTAACGCTTTCCTCCTAGGCGTGCTTGGTCTCGCGTCCTGAGGGGTGGAGCGAATAAGCGCACCGACAGCTAGGATCGAATGGTGAATACAGTCATCTTGCAGACCTTCACCTACGACTAGATATGACCAGTTGGGACTAGTGTAATAACCTGCCAGATTGGTGGAAACCTGATGTCGAAAGTAATCGTAGTATACGCCGTCCTTGTGATAGATCTTGGGTAGGCTCGAGAGAGATCTAGGAATCTGAGGCGACAAGATCATCTCGGATTTGTTGCTGCTGTTGCCGCTGCAAATGTCGGCGGCCTCGGCTGAAGCGGACCGAGGGGCGATGAGCTGCGGCGTATTCCGGCGGACCACATTTTGGTTTGTCCGTTTCCTCCGGCGGTCGATGCGGTCCACGTAGCCCTCGCAGACGACTCCGACCTTCTCACAACGGAAACATGTGGGCTTGCGTTCGTCGCATTTTACATGGCGAGTCTTGCAGGTGGCACAGCCGGTACGCGCCTTCGGTCCACCCGCCCTGCGCCGTTTGGTCTCCTCCGTCGGCGAGGCCCGGTCGCTGTTGCAGACGGACTCGGGCGACGGCGGTGCCTCGAGCGGCTTAGGGAGGATCCAGGGTCCGATTTTGGAGGCCAGGTCTGGGCCGAGGAGATTCTCCATTGTTTTTTTTTCCCCCTCTCTGTCTCTCTTTGGTGCGGCTTTTTGGTTTAGGATTGGCTGACCGGACGAGAAAGTGGTGCGATTCTTTGGCGCCCATATGAGTAAAAGAAAAGGAGTTCAAGGAGTTTAGAGATGGGCTGCTCAAGCCTTGAGCCGCTCGGGAAGATTGGCCCTGGCCTGGGGGATAAATGCAACGGTGAGTTGGGAAAATCACCGTCTCCACCATGCCCCCCGGATTGCGGGGTTCTCGCATTACAACGAATGCAACATTATTCGCGCGTTTTCTTATCAGAGTCTCGCGTGAATGGTCAGTTGACTGCTCGTAACTTGTTGACCAATCACAAAGGCCCGGTTTGTTCGGGGCCCTCTAGCTTAAACGCGAAATGATAAGTCGGGAAATGAGCCGAAAGAACCCCGGCTTGGCTTGGCTTTGTTGGGTGCGCACATGTGTAATGCTGAAGAGGTTGTTGGAACGGGAGACTGGAGGCTCAGATCAGATGTCGGCATTGCGATGAGGCTCTGAGATCGGCTCGAGTTGAGGTAAGATGGTCAAGCTTTATGAGAAGACGTGTAATAAAGTAGAGTTGAGGGTTCTGCGTTAGATTTTCTTTGTTTCGAGTTAATATACGGTAACGCTGATGATAAATAGTGTGAGCTCCGCAGAGCTCACGGACCATCGTTCATGACCAGGCAATAATTGGCTTGACAACATCGCCGCGCTTCATCGCTTCTACGGCTGAAGCAAAATCGCCGTGTTTAAAGACTTTGATCAGTTTTTCGACAGGGAACTTTCCGTCTCTCCACCACTGAACCATCTGAGGGACGTACTCGGCAGTATTCACATGCCCTTGGACAGCTCCGAAATACTGCTTTCCGCTGACCATGAAACTCTGCATGTGAAGCGATAGATGTGACTCTGGCATGCCAGTGCCAACCTGAATGATCTTTCCCATGTACCTCGTTCCTTGAACCTGAGCTTCGAGCAGTGGCGGAAACGCGCTGGTGTCGATGCAAATGGTTGCTCCAAGCCCCTCAGCCGCTTCCTTGATCTTCTCAGTCACCTGCGCCATTTCGAGCCCAGTCGTGTTTATGATGTGCGTAGCTCCGAGGGTCTTGGCCAGCTCGAGGCGAGACTCAACTCGGTCGATTCCGATAATGGCCTTGCAACCTTGGTTCTTTGCTGCAATGACCGCCGCCAATCCCACGCCTCCCATACCCGCGATGGCGATGCAGTCCTTCGCACCGGCCTTGGCGACGTTGATGACGGTTCCGCTACCTGTCTGGAGACCGCACCCAAGAGGTGCTAGTATTCTCAGGTCATCCCGAGTCAGTCCGAGACCGGCGGCGTTGACAACGGACTTGTCGCTGACGACTGTGTGGTGGGCTAAGCTGGATTGGCCAAAGAAGCGTCCGCCGATACCGTCTGAGAAGACTGGTTCTCCCATGAAGTTGATCTCAAAGAATTTGGTACAGTGGGATGGCGGTCCTGTCTTGCAGACGTGACACTCTCCGCAGTATGAAAAGGAGAGGAAGACGGCGTCGCCAGGCTTCACCTTCGTCACGCCATTTCCAACCTGAACCACATACCCAGAGCCTGAGAACATTTTAGCAAACTGAAGCATTACAGCGTTCCTACATGGTTTATAAAACAAGATGACTTACCCTCATGACCCAGGACTCGAGGGTAGTAGACTCCGGGAACTTCTTTGTCATCTGGCGTGTTACCGCAGTGTAGGTCTGTGTGACAGATACCAGAGGCGACAATTTCAACGAGAACCTCGTCTGAGCGAAGATCACGGAGAGTGACTGGTTCGATGGCCCATTTCCCTTCAGAGAAGGGGCCTCTGGCGACGATAGCTTCCGATTTGAAAGACATTGAGAGAGCCAGACGTCGAGAAAGGTCGTTGCAGGGATGATGGGCCAAATCCGCGAGCGCTTATCAGTCGGGTATTGAAAGTGTCAGAGTCTGCTCCTCTGTATCAAAAAGCAAGGATTGCATGAATTGTATTTGTCTCGGAGTGATGGACTGTAGAAGAAGGACTGGGGAAGATGGAGGTGCGGGGTTGCATCGTGATGATAAGCGCCATGCATCAACATCTGCACCCCAACTTCTTAATCAGGCAGCCTCCGCCGCTACGAGATTAGATAAGACCATTACCAAATAAATCCGGTTGAAGAAAACATCTAGCTTGAAGCACAAGCAAATATGTTGCCCAGACAAGATGTTGAGGGGCACAACCTGAGCAGAAGAGGGGGAAGAGACTGTCTGCTGCGGCAAATCACACAAGCCATACACGAACATGAGCTTTTAAGGTTAATGATATTCGTGATTGGGTGTAGCTGACATTCAGTACGAAAACAATATGAGTGAGGGTGCTTACAAATTACTGTGCCTTGCAATGGTATGGGCTCCTGGCATTGGCTCCGGTTCATATTGTCCCCGGAAGCTGTCCTCGTTGAATACGCGCCCAAGCGGTGACTTGTGAACCAGCTGGGATATATTCCTGGAATCTTCAATTAGTACAATTACGTGAACTTCACTCTCGTGCACTACCTTACCTTATGATGGCAACGAGGTCAACAGGTTTAGCCTTGGAAGTCGAGCTCATTGCGCCGGGCATACAGCTCAGTAACACACTGAACTGCATGCGCTGCACTCAAGCTTGTTACTTCTCCATGGGCCGCTGCGAGAGCTTCTCTCTCGTATCACGAGTATTCCAGGGACCTTCTCAGTAGGACTGATTTGGCGTTTTGTTGTTGTTCTCTCTAGAATACTGGCACTGGGGGTAACTTCTGGCAAGGTGACAGCCAGTAACTTCCTCTTGGTTCTTAAATAAGCCCCGGTTAATTCAATGAGGGTATTCGTCTTGTAGTGAGCTCTTATCAACCACAAGTTCATATTGTTGAAAGCGCCTTTAACATTTGATATGAAGAACCTAAGCGCAAGTTAACCTCAGCAGCCGGGCCGGTTTGGCATCCTTTGGTCGTGGATTCACAATACTTTAGAATATTTAGAATCAGAATTAAATTTCCAATACTGAGTGTGGAAAGTGTGAGAGGACTCGTTTGGGCTGCGGACGAAACAACATTATCTGGATGCTTCCTTTTGAAGTTGGACCCATGCAGCTATTTAATCACGCCGACACGTTTGTGGAACACAAGTTTGTAGTGAGATTGTGTTTAACAGCTCTTTCGTCCACAGAGGAACGAATTGTCAACTTATGGCTCGTTAAAATACAGACTCATTCGTCATTGCTGGAAGATGAAATACATACTTGGCGATGATGCCGACCACATCGATAGCTCTTTTCCTAACATGAATGATGACGATGCATTGGTGTACCTTACGATTACTGCAGAGAATCATTCTACCGATATCACAACCGCCGACGGGTTCTCGACCCAAGTTAATTGCCACGTTCTGCTGCGCCATGAACCTTTAGATGTTGTAGCACTTGTTATAAGACATTGGAACCAAGATCTCAGCTCGTTGTTGAGTTCATTGTCGCGCGTGACCACATGCAGTGATCGTGACTTTTCGTTTCGCTGACTAAAGTAACCTGATCAATTTCCCGATGACGATACGCAACATACGTGTACGGGCGCCGCCAAAGTCATACTCACTGACCAAGCTTACTAACTGCATTACGAATCTCACTCCGCATCATGATGGAGGCAACAGATGGCCCAAGAAGGACTGATGGCTATGCTTAAACTGCATTGCTTCGCACCTCATCAAGTCCCCGTCGTATGGTTTGCCTGGTAAACTACGAGGTAACTGCGCATGGGGATCATCCGGTAGGGTCAGACACGCTCCCTGACACTTTGAGCGTCACCAAAGTTTACTGGTAGAACCCCAATATGGCAGTCCATTCGCCGTCTGAAAGTCATGCTGACCCTCGTATTTCTCGCATGCAATCATGCCTCCTGATGCTCAGTAAGCTCGTTCATGAGTCCTCAATTACGGTTTACCCAGGATCTTTGTTTCCATTCCGATTTTAGGGGTCTTTCCTCCTAACATACCTGAGTCAAGCACCTGCAGGTTCACAAGGTTCCTGATCGACGGCATGCAGAATGACGACAGGGGCAAAGTGGCTGTTGGCCTTTGAGTGTGGCTTATGCGAGAAAGGCAAGGTGGCTGATCAGATCAACAACGCTAATTAAGGGGCTGACACCTTGCTTTTCCACTTGTTTGAATACAAGAGGTCTGAATGCCTAATTAGACACAAGTAAAAACACTGATCTGACTTGACATCCTGCTTGCTTTACATCGTGTTCGAGGCACAGCCAGGCAGCATAGTCACATCGCTCAGCATCTAGGAGTTTTTCGTCATTGTCTCCTTTCGATACCATCATGTCTTGCCTGCGATGATTCAAAAACAAGATGGCACAGGCGGGTAACGGCAATTAGCGTCATCTGCTTGCGGGGGCAAAGCTTCAATTTCGCCTTAGCGGCCTCAACCCCCCTCCTCTCAGCCTAGAATAATTCTGTCACCTCCCGATGTTCCCGTGGTTTTATAGGCTGTTGAGTTAGGCAGGAACGCGCCGTTGCATGTTTAGCTCCGGCTTTGGACCACCTAAGTTCCTTCGCTTGCGGGAATGGATCTTCTCAAGAAAATGGCGTTCGGAATGAGGCCGTTTGATGCCTGGAATCCTTTCAGGGGCAGTTGTTATAAAATCTTGGCACTCTGTCGATGCACAGGTTGAGCGACAGAGCATCACCAGTCGCTTATCAAACTCCTTGCGTCAATCTATCGCTTTCGATTGCTTCCAGGATTAAGTCACTTCAAGATGTCGTCACTCGCTAAGTTTATTGCTGCGGCCGCCGTTGGCATCGCCATGTCACCATTCGTCTCAGCCGCCGGAAACGTCACGGTCAAGGAGCTCACCGGTGGCTGCTCCGCGTATCCGGACTACGACGCCTCCGCCGGCCAGGCGGGGCCGTGGTCGATGCAAGTAAAAGATACCGACGGCGGCGTCCTTGACGATCACGGCTTGACCGCCATTTACTCTCGCGGCTCGACTGGCATCCGATGGGGATACGTAAGTTCACATCCGGGCGTCACCACCCGATTGGTCATGCCCAAAGTCACATCACTAACCATATTCATTTCAGATGGCCGCGCTTGACAAAATCGCCGTGGCACAGGACCCGCTACAGTGTGTCGACGGCCAAGGCATTCAGGGCCATGTGCCCACTGGCGTTTCCGGTTACACCTGGGAGAACCTCGTGGCCGCAGATATCCCATACGACGCTCTACTTATGTACCTCGTCAACGGCACCGAAATCAAGCCGTACTCGCATTACACGCTCAACGGCACGCAGATCGACGGAGTCTTCCTGGGCTCCGAGGGCTACACGACGTGGGGTTTCAGGAAGGACACGACTTCCGACCAGGGAACTTTTTGGGAGGCCAGATTGTTGGGCGCTAACAGTGAAGATCCTTCGACTGGCAAACCGCTGTTCGATGGGGAGATTACTGGCTTCCTTAAAGTTTATGGCTCTTGAACTCTCGGCTTAGCTCTCCCGGTGGGAGATGCCACCACATCTTTACGCGCAAAGTAGGTAGGGTGGTAGTTCAGTGAGAAAGGTCATCCGACATGTTGATATCCCGACTGAAAGGTCCGAACACATTAACTATTCACTCTTGGCAGTACTACGAGCTGATTTTTTTCCTTTTTCTTCCACCACGTTTTCATGTTCATTCTTTCATCCAATGATGTGCCGCTTGGGCCGCGGGTGAGAGTCAAGATGCCACAAATAGAAGGTTTCGAAACATTACAGATTGTCCGTACGTAGACTGCATGACAATTAAGGGCGGCCTCTATTCGCCAGTGAAAGAGAAACCGAGAACATGTCAGACGCTTTCGATTCAATGAGCACAAGTGACATTGTCAATGAGGGAAGACTTGTTTTTTGACGTATGTACCCGAGACGGGATCATCTTCTTCTGCCCGATAGAACGAGTCGATGAAGTGTAACTCAAGTCGCCCTCCCTAAACCTCTAGAAACGCATCGATGCGACCAGACTAATAAGCGACGTCGCGTCGTACCACGTCGCACAGATCGTTTGGTATCTTTCTGACGATCAGACTCGCGAATACGAAACCGGTAACGTCGTTTGCTCTCGTTTACACGGGAACCTCACTCGATGAACCTTGGTTCGGACTTTTGCGTCAGTCCGCTTGGCCAAAGCCCTCACACTATCTTCGCCCCTCACCCCGCGTTTTTGTTGCCTCTCGCCCTTTTGTCCCGCGGCAGCGCTAATGCATGCCCATCAGATCGAATACTCCTTCGTCCTGTTGATCGGCGCAGGGGGTGTTGGTTGGGGGAGAAGACAAGATGCGAGCCATGCTCACATCCCACCACCATCTTTCTCTCTTTTCCCCGGCCGGTAGTTGGGCGGTTCCACCCGGTTTCGCAATCCGCGGGCAAGTTTCACGCCGGCTACTTACTAGTTTATGCTCGTAGTTCGTCTCCCGTCGGCTGTGTTTGTGGTATTCGTCACGGCTGGTGGCGGGGTCCCCAGAACGTAATCGGTGGTTGCTGTCAAGCTTGCAGCCAAAAAGACTTGATGGAGGGTACAGCAAGATTATATTACACCCTTATGTCCCATCTTTCTCTTGAGTCTAATCCCCTTGTCCGAGCACACCATCATTGCAACCCGTCAACCATCCAAGATGTCGATGTCGATGCTTCCCAACGTGAACGCCACAGCCGGTGCTGCGGTAGATGGCGCCCTGTTTATCGAAGTGGCCCAGCGATGGCCTATCGCTGCCACTGCGGTGGTCGCATGTGCTGTCGCTCTTTTGCTCCAGACAGTCCTGAAGAGCGATCCCTGGGCGGATATCCCCATGGTAGGAACAGAGTTTGGAGGATCCGAAGCCAGGCGAAAGCAGTTTATGAATGGCGAGGCCAGGAACCTCTACCTCAACGGATATAGAAAGGTACGTCAGATGCCAGCAAGACTCAATGGCCAGTATTAGAGGTTAATCGGGCATGCGCATAGTTCAAAGAGAGAGCTTTCCGCATCACCACCGCAAGGAGTAAGCTTCATGCCCTCGATACGAAAGATGGTCTGTGCTAAATCACCCGCAGAATCGCCAAACATTGTCGTCGCCCCGAAGTTCATGAACGAGCTGAAGAGGCTTCCTGACGACGTCCTCAGCTTCAACCGGGCCATCGAAGAGGTCAGCCTGAGACAAGGACTATACAATAAAGAGGCAACGCTGATGGATCCCTAGTCAATGCATGCCAAGTATACAGGTGTAGACACCGATATCGACTTGCTGCCTCATACCGTCAAGACTGCTTTGACGCCAGCTTTGGGTACGTCATATCTCTGTGAAGCGGTCCTCTAGGTTCCCCTAATAAGTATGACACCGATCCAGTGCGACTCAACCCGATCATCGCCGACGAAGTCGTCGAAGCTCTGCGAACAGAACTCCCTCAATCATGCGACTGGAACGAGGTCAAGATCATGGACAAGATGATGCGAGTCATTGCCATGGCCTCCGGACGCGTCTTTATCGGACCGGAACTCTGCCGAAACGAAGAATACCTAGACGCCGCGATCAATTACACCCTCGACCTGATGAAGGCCGTTCGAAAGGTTGCGGATATTGCCCCTTGGCTGCGCCCCTTCTTGGCGGCGAGAACACCTGAGGTCAAGAAGGTCCACTTTCGAATCGAGGAGGCGGACAAATTCTTGAGGCCTGTGGTGACCGCAAGGAAGGAGGCGGAGAAGAGTCCTGATTATCAAAAGCCGGACGATATGCTGCAATGGATCATGGAATCGCAGAAGAAGTTCGGTGAGAAGAATGATAGAGAGCTTGCTAGGTACCAGCTGGGCATCAGCTTCGCTGCTATCCACACTACGACTGTCACCACGACCAACGCGTAAGTGTCTGGATGATTGAGATAGCCAAAACAATGCGGGTGATGCTGACTGAGAGGGTGAAGTCTCTATACACTAGCGGCTATGCCCGAGCTGATTCCCATGCTCCGGGATGACGTCCAGCAAGCTTTGGCCGAGAGCAACGGCGTCTTCACGAGCGGTGCCATGCAGAACATGAAGAAGCTGGACAGCTTCCTCAAGGAGACTATGAGATACTACGCACTTGGTCCCAGTAAGTCTACAGTCGAAGCTAATTAACTACTTCAACAACTGACCATCTGTGCAGCATCATTCCAACGCAAGGTCCTGAAGACCTTTACTCTATCGAACGGCCAGGTCATTCCCGCTGGATCCGTAGTCGAATTGCCCGTGATCGGTATCAACAATGACGACGAAATCTTCCCCGACTCCGAGAAGTTTGACCCCTTGAGATTTTACAAGCTGCGGCAAGCCAAAACGGAACAGGAGACCGGCTCAAAACAGGCCGAGGTTGTGGCAAATGCCCAGTTCGTTAGCGTAGGGCAGACCAGTTTGACCTTTGGATACGGTCGTCACGCATGCCCGGGTCGCTTCTTCGCTGTGAACGAGATCAAGATGATCATGGCGACGACTCTGGCTAACTACGACATCAAGAACCTGGGAGATAGCAAGGAGCGATACAAGAACTTGGAATTCGGCGCAATAGTAAGTGAATCAGAATTCATCGTGGAGAGGGTCAGCCCGCTAACAGTTCTCTAGACTCAACCGGACCCCGACAGGAAGGTTTTGCTGAGAAAGCTTTAGTGAGCATGAAGGAAGTTGATGATAGTCAATGATGTTTTACAGCAGTTTAAGGTAGCATATGTGCACCGCGCAACATGGTAATTGAAGAATTTGAGAGTTGAAACAATCAATGCAGACCGGCTACTCGGATTACTGGATATCACAGTAAGGACATAATAGACTTATAAAATTGTCTTAGTGCATTCTTGGTAGATAGTGTGAGATCAATATTGCTGTCTATCCCTTTACTCCAGGGCACTAAAATGTACCTTTCTTACAAAATCCCAAACCTGAGATGTGATGTAATCCTACATGTTTCATGAGTCTATCCAGGCTTGTTCGCCAAAGAACAAAGGAAAATGAAGCCAATCAAGGGGCCAAAAACAAAAGAAAAAGACTCCAGTCAAGTGACCGGATCATAAGCCCAATCTCTCCAATTCTCTTCGCTCGGCTTTCTTGTTCCCGCTGGTGCTACTGGAAGCTCTGCCCTTGTCTCTCGAGTCTCTTCGACGCCACCCTGTTGACTTCCTTCACCTACGAAACCCCTGATTACCGGCGGCTCCTTGATAAGGCTCGTAGCGTGGGTCTTGGTATTGTTGTTGTTGGGGCTTCGGGTACTGCCCGCTTTCCATCAGGTATCCCTCGTTGAGCACCTCTGAGCTGGAGACTTGCTTCAAGCCAGTAGCCTGGTTGTTGATAACACGACTTGGGTGGAACCAGTTGAAGGCCATAGCTGTGATGCCCATCAACGTCGCATCGAAGATGTAGATGTACATCTCCTTGGCTTGCAGCTCGCTGTCCTTGCCTCCCACGTATTCGGCAACTCGGAAAAGCGAACGAACCATGATGAGTAAACTGGTGCCGTAAAGAACAAAGAGAAGACCCTTCCATGGAGTTTGAACCGTATGAGACTTTGGTGTCGGGTTGCGGGAGAGGCGAAGGTGGAAGACTAGGGTGACGACGATGAAGAAACCGAAGAAGAGGATCTGGATGCAGAGACCGCCAACGATGATGTTCTCGCCCAGCTTCACGTTATCGCTATTCTTGGCAGTCGCCAACATACCACCACCTCCAGACTGAGCGAAAAATGACAGCACATCTCCTAGCACGAAGACCTTGGTCAACCAATTGGGTCTGATCAAAGAGTATTCTCCGGCGTCGAGAAGGTTAATCAAGCGACCGAGAACCATGTAGATTGACGCGGCGAATAAAGCGGGGCCGAGGAGGAGAAGAATCGACTGGATGATGTAGGGGTTCTTGGTGTAATCGGGTGCTTCGCCCGCGGACATGGCTCGGCCAGCATATCCAACTGCTTCAACTAGGCAAATGTCAGTCGAGTCGTGCTTGAGGACGGGGATGAGGTTGGACTATGACAACTTACATATGCACCCAATAACAAAGGGAATGAAATACCACGTCTTGCGTCGACATAATTGCCAGATGTGTAGCATACAAGAAACCCCAAAGACGATAATGAAGACGGTTGCCGCTACCATAGAAGGCTCATAGTGGTAGAAAACGAAGCCGGTGGAGGCACCTTCGGTCGTGGTGCTGTTGTCCGCCATCGTGAAGTAAATGTCTCCTTGGCGCAATTAGGTAATGACTCTGGCCTGAATTGAGTTTGGGCGGGCCGAAAATTTTAGCTTTGGTCGCTGGGAAAAAAGAAGCTTCAATCTAAAGATCGTTTTCCGTTCTTGTAAAGATGGAGGGTGGGCGATTTGTGAGCTTGTTGATTGTGTTCTACCGTCATCCATTATCGGTCCAAAGACCTCGATATAAGTAAGACTTTACGTTCATCTTCGAATTCTCCCCCTTTACCCCTTTGTGTTTGCATACGAGTGTTGCTGCGATGCAAAACAGCCTCGACACGAAGAAAACCCCCCTGGCGCTAGGCAGACTGAGCCTTTGAGGGATGGTGTTTGCAGATTTTCAGATTGTACGCGGAGTATTAGTAGGGCTGAGCCACCTTGATCAAGCACTTTGCGGTACTCTCCGTACGCGTATGACCCAAATCTAGCCATTGGCCAGAGGACGAAGCCATAAAGCCCGGGAGACGGTACCTAATCCGGCGAGATGCACAAAGTCTTTGCGGCAGTGGGGAGAGGTCCAAGTTTAGAATTCTAGACTAGCGACGGTTCTAGCGACTCGCGAGGGACGATCTATCCGCGGATTCTGTGTTGGTCGTATACGCGTATTCGTCACCATGGATGCGAGACAATGCGACAACCCGCGGGTCGACAGTGAACCAATGAGATGTTTAAGGTTGTGCCCACTTACGTTGACTGATAATTAAGCATTGACTGGCGCCCCCATCGCGGATCGCGACAACGCCCACACCCATGAAATTTTTATGGCCCTCATCCGACGGGAACTTGCCGAGTCCGCGGCTCCTTAAAACTGCATATACCCAAAAGAGCTCTAAAGTCTTCACAAACACGGTCTCTTTACGTGGATTCGCAGTTCGGCGCATTGTGGCGCGGCTCAAACTACCGGCCCTACGAATCCCAGTCCCCTTAGCACTTCCGTTCGGCTTTACCCTACGGGCAACCCGAGTCAGGTACGAGATATGCGACTATGGCTATTAACTATATTCCGTAGACTACGGAGGGGTGATGTGGCGGCGTATGATGTAAGTAGTAGGCGGTAGCTGAATATTTTGATAAATTGGGTTGACTGCCTGGCTGATTTCCTCAAGACCCCTCCCTGGCTACTGATTTCACCGTTAGGAATTGACTTTTCTTGTGATCGTCTTGGAAACACATTGTGCTCTTGCCCCTTTTGCTTTTTGATTGATTTGGCGATTCTTCAACATTTTCCATTTCGATACCCATTTTCGTTTCTCTACGCCGACGAGGTCTACTACACGGCGGTAACTTCACCCTCTTCAACCAGAGCCTCAACCCTTGACCTACTTCGAGAGTACAAAATGTCGAAGCGAAACACCATTAGGATGATAGAGGATGATCCCGTTCCTCAAGACTACCTTCCATCCTACGAGTCGGCGATCAACGAGGGACTCCAGCAACATAGCGAAAGCGTCGGAAGTAGGAATCCCAGCCGACCCAATCTAATAATCCCTTTGAACACATCCTAACCAAAGGAAATCACTACAGCGGACGGTAGAATCAACGTAAACCTCGATTCGCGGCTGGCGACAACCCTTGCCCGCTTTGTTCCCGACTTCAAAGACCCAGCCCAACTCGCACAGGCAGCAGCCGCCGAGGGTCCCCCGCCAGAGTACTTCGAAGCAGCAGAGCGCTTCGCCGAGAAGAAGACCTTCCCCGTCAAACTCAACATCGTCATCCAAGTCGTAGGAAGTCGTGGCGATGTCCAACCCTTCATCGCACTCGGAAACGAGCTCCAGACGTACGGCCACAGAGTACGCCTCGCAACACACGACGTCTTTGATGAATTTGTTCGCAAATCCGGCCTCGAATTCTATCCCATCGGCGGTGATCCTTCCGAACTGATGGCCTATATGGTCAAGAATCCAGGTCTGATCCCGAGCTTGAAGAGTTTGAAGGGCGGCGATATTCAGAAGAAACGGAAGATGGTCAAGGAAATGCTAGAAGGATGCTGGAGGTCTTGTATCGAGCCTGATACACAGACTGGGACACCGTTTGTGGCTGATGCAATCATTGCCAATCCGCCAAGTTTTGCACACGTTCACTGCGCCCAAGCCCTTGGCGTCCCGCTACACCTCATGTTTACCATGCCTTGGAGTAGCACGAGAGCCTTCCCTCACCCTCTGGCAAATCTCAAGTTTGGAGACAAGGGAGTTGTTGACCAGATGACGGCAAACTTTGTGTCCTACAGCATCGTTGAGTGGTTGACATGGCAAGGGTAAGCAGTTGTTCCGGCTATCTATGGTCTCTTGTGCTGATGATTGTTACAGACTCGGAGACGTAATCAACGACTGGAGGAGGACGATCGATCTTGAAGAAGTGCCGTTTTCCGAAGGCCCGGTTCTCGCAGAGTCGCAGAAGATTCCATTCACCTACTGCTGGTCTCCATCACTCGTACCAAAGCCCATTGACTGGCCTGCCTACATCGGTAAGATTCGTACATTGCGCAAGACTAGGCGCGGAACTGGGACTAATCCACAACACAGATGTTTGCGGCTTCTTCTTCCGTGAACCCCCTCAGTACGAGCCGCCAACGGAGCTCGCAAACTTCCTCAAGAATGGACCGACTCCCATCTACATCGGCTTCGGCAGTATCGTCATCGACAACCCCGACGAAATGACAAAGATCCTCGTTGAAGCTGTCCGCGCAACGGGCGCTCGGGCAATCATATCAAAAGGCTGGAGTAACTTGGGAGGCATCGATGCGGATGACATCCTGTTTCTGGGAGACTGCCCGCACGAGTGGCTGTTTGCCAATGTTGCAGCAGTGTTCCATCACGGCGGCGCCGGGACTACAGCTTGTGGTCTCTTGAACGGCAGACCAACCACAATCGTCCCCTTCTTTGGAGAGTGAGTATTACCCGACGGTGGTCTGAAAGATTCTATCCAGGTCGAAACTGACAACTATCAGTCAACCATTCTGGGGAGACATGGTTGCGATCGCAGGCGCCGGGCCAAAGCCCATTCCACACAAGCAGCTCAACGCCCAGAACTTAGCCGATGCGATTCGATTCTGCCTAACACCGGAAGCCGCGACTGCAGCTGGCGAACTTTCAGCCAAGATGAAGACGGAGAATGGTGTGGCCACAGCAGCAAAGTCGTTCCACGCAAACTTACCTCTCGAATTGCTTAGGTGCGATGTTTTCCCCAACCAGCCGGCAGTATGGGAGTTCAAGAGAGGGAAGAAGCAAGTCAGACTATCGAAGCAAGCTGCGGGGATTCTTCTTGACCATCTCAAGATTGGCCACAAGAACATGTCACTGTGAGTGCCAACAGCAGTGGACGTTATTACTCCTCGCTTAGTGTATACTAATGGCAACCCCAACTTCTAGACACGAGACGAAAACATATATCATCGAGAACCGCCGTTGGGATCCTGTCACAGGCACCGTTTCCTCCCTGATGGGAGTCGGATACGGAATGGTCAAGGGCGCCACCGACATCGTTGTCAAGCCCGTCCAAGTCTATAATCAACGATCCAAACTTAAGGCCGCAGAGATGGAGGACATTGAGAGAAGAAGCGCCAGAAGTGTGTCTAGTCTAGACGTGCAGACACCGCCCCGATCGCCGAGTCTCGCGCCCCCGCAATCCGACGCTCTCGATCGGCCCCGAAGCGCAGGTCGAGGCTGCGGAAGCACAACGGGTGCGGTCTTCAAGGCGTCGGCTTCCGGTGTTGGCACATTCTTCAAGTCTTACGGCAAGTTCTATCTTGACGTGCCGCTGGCTGTCACGGAAGGTCTCCGCGAGGCGCCCAAGCTCTACGGCGAGAAGGTTGAGGCTCGCGCTCCCATTACCGATTGGAAGTCTGGCGCCATGGTCGGTGGGAAGAACTTTGTGACCGGAATCGGAGGTGGTTTCGCCGACTTGTTTTACCAGCCGTACAAGGGCGGACGTGATGGAGGTGCCGCGGGTGCAGCGTTGGGCGTCGGGAAGGGCGTCATGAACATGGCGACGAAGACAGCATCAGGTATGTATTCGAAGGTATCCTATCCTGCTTGTCGACTCAAAGTGCTAACCTTTGGTGAAACAGCCACTCTCGGGATTGTCGCGTACCCCGGCCAGGGTATCTACCAGAGCATCCGAACAGCAGTCAAGTCCAAAACTCGACAGAGTATTGCTGCTGCCAGACGAGCCGAGGGTGAATACCTCGCCCGCAACATTCAGGTTGATATTCATCAGACACTACAGAGGTTCGATGAGCTTTGCCGGGCTAGCGAGAAGGAGAAAAAGGGCAAGGAACGTGAGGGGGGCAACTTTTTTGATTTTGGACGGAAGGGAAAGGACAAAGATACCCATGCAACATTTTAGAGAATATAGACTGGCTCATGATTTCGGGCGCATTGGTTTTCAAGTGCAGAGACTGGGATTTGACAGGCATTAAGTGGTCTATTCAAGGCCGGCTGACCGGGTATCAAACTTTGCCAGCATTGTAGCTACCATCTAGTATTTAGATTACATGTAAGAAAGGTATACGCGCACATTATTCTAGAGTCCTTCTTGTCCGGGATCTTTATCCCACACTTTCAAACTTTACCTCTCTCCCTCCATCATCTGATTAATCAATGGTCTTGATCATCTCCGAGCCATAAACCTCATCTTCATAGGGTGTGCCGGTGAAGACGCTGGTTCGGCTGGTGCCGCTGGTGCCTCCGCTGGAGGGTTGATTGGTGTGAACCCAATGGGAGGGATCTGATGACCAGGGGGGGCAGCCCCAGCGGGAGGCGCCACGTGGGCTGGAGGAGCAACTGCCGGGGCTTCGTGAACGAGAGGGGCAGCGGCAGGCGTATGGACCGGGGCAGCCTCTGCGGGGGGTGTGTGTACTGGCATAGCCTCGGTAGGAGGCGTATGAACGGGCATCACCTCGGCTGGCGGCGCTTGATGAACTGGCGGGGTTACCGGGGCAGGGTGCATGACCGGTGGAGGGGTATGGACCGGAGGAGCCAAGGTGTGGGCCGGCTGGGGTGCTTCATGAACCGGTGGTGCTACTGGTGCCGCCGAGGGATGCACTGCCGGAGGTGGGGAGGGTTGATGGCCCAAGACTGGCGCTGCGATTGTTGTTGCGCAGTGGCTGACCGTCTGGGTGACGTGAACCGTTTGATGGATGACTTGGGGAGGTTGCGTTACGTGTACAGTCTGCGGAGGCTGAGGAACATGAACCGTCTCTTTGATGATGTGAGGAGGCTGCGTAACGTGTACCGTCTCCTTGATGACGTGGGGAGGTAAAGTGACATGAACCGTTTCCTTGACCACCTGCGGAGGAAGGGTAACGTGTACCGTCTCCTTGACCACCTGAGGCGGCAAGGTTTGGTGGATTACCTGAGGAGGCAAGGTAACATGTACTGTCTCCTTGACTGGAGGCAAAGTGACGTGTATGGTTTCTTTGACGATTTGAGGCGGCAGAGGCGGCAGGGTCTCCTTGATTATCTGTGGAGGCTGCGTGACGTGAACTGTCTCCTTGACAACCTGAGGAGGCTGTGTGATATGTACGGTCTCCTTGACTACTTGAGGAGGCAAGGTGACATGAACTGTCTCCCGGACAGGTGGTAGGGTAACATGAACGGTTTCTTTGACAATCTGAGGAGGCAAAGTCTCCTTGATTATTTGAGGAGGAAGAGTCTCCCTGATGATTTGAGGAGGTTGAGTGATGTGTACCGTCTCCTTGATAACTTGCGGGGGCTGAGTGACATGAATTGTTTGCGGGGGAAGGGTGACGTGGACCGTCTCTTTCACTACCTGCGGAGGCTGAGTGACGTGAATCGTCTGAGGAGGCAGAGGTAAAGTAACGTGTACCGTCTCCTTGATAACCTGGGGAGGCTGGGTGACGTGTATCGTCTCCTTAATGACTTGAGGAGGTTGAGTGACGTGAATGGTCTCTTTGATTACCTGAGGAGGCTGAGTGACATGAACTGTCTGAGGGGGAAGGGTAACGTGGACCGTCTCCTTCACAATTTGAGGAGGCTGCGTGATGTGAACGGTCTCCTTGACCACCTGGGGAGGAAGTGTGTGGACCTCCTTCTTCGTTTCTGTGATATGTATTGTCTCCTTCACCACCTGCGGGGGCTGAGTGACGTGTACGGTCTGTTTTATCGTCGTCGGGACATGAACCGTCACGTGTACGGGTATTTTTTCGTGGACAGTCTCGATCTGGTGTATTGTCGTCGGAACAGGAACGTGGACTGTTTTCACTTCTCCTGGCAGCGTGACGTGTACCGTCTTGTGAACTGTTGTAGGAACATGAACGGTCTCGTGGACGGTGTGCACAATCGTCTCAGTCTTGGGCGGCTCGCATTGCTGCTGGGCTGGAGGCGCTGCCGGAGGGTTGGCGGCTGCCAGAGTCGACAGCGCGAGCCATGAGAGGACTCCGTATCGTGTGAGCATCGTGTCTTCGTCGAGTGGTAAGGACTGATGGAATAGGACTTGAGATGATTGTCGTTATTGAGTAAAGAAAGAAAGACACAAGAAGGAATAAAGGAACGTTATGAGGTCTGAACGGAGTCGAGATACCGGTCTCTGGATGAAATGAATCGAAGTAAACAAACTGTAGCCAAGTGATGAAATCACAAGATGGCTACCAAGAAACGAATGAAGACGGGCGCGCGGGTGAATGGAAGAGGTGGTGACAGTCCTGCTAATCACTGCAGACCAAGACAGGAAGGGGGAAAAGTCATTATATCAGGAGGGGTCTGGTTCATCGTCGCCTTGGCTGATGAACATGGCCCGCCGCCCGCAGTATCCGGTGCACGGAATCTCGGATGCACGGGTTGTTGTGATGGCATGTCTTTCTGGATCTAGGTCAGGTCTGGGCATGGGAGTGTTGGAGCTTGGTGTGAAGGAGGCGCGCGAGGTATCGTCATTCGTGGAGTGCTTTGACGAGGGCCCTAGGCGGATGTGTTAGAGACGACGCGGTGCTAGATGGTGTCCATGGTGATGTTGGAGTCAACCTGACAGCGGTGAGCTTGTAAGTCGAGATCGGGTACAAGTCGGACTAACAAGTCAGCTGCATATGTCTTATCATCCAAGATGGGATCAAATGTCGCGCTGCCATCTGAAGAGTGATGGAACGGATCCGCAAGAAGGGATGAAAAACTAGGGACGCTCTGTTTTAGGTTTGCGGCTCCCGCAGGGGAGTATAGCCAGGGCTGAACCTAACGAGCAAGTGATGTCGAAGAGCATCCGGGCACAGGCAGTCGTGAGGCTTGGCCCGGATGCACGGGAGGCTTGGTATGCTTGGGACGACAGGGGATAGCTTTTCTCGACTTTGTCGACCCCTTAAGATCAGAAGGTCTTGCCCGGAATCATGTGCTGCCGTTGGTGGGCACGATATCTCCAAGTCTCTCTCATGGCTGAGCTGGAAAGATGAAACTCAGTATCGTCGTATCATTGTGGCTCTGCAAATGGCTTCTAAGGCAGTAGCTGTTGCGATCACTGAACCGTCACGATGTTCATTTTTCCCAAGAGAAACGCGGTGCCAAAGTGGCGTTGGCCAAGATGCTTAGTGTTCATGCCATGATGGAAACATGAACGACCAGGTAGCGAAAGTTGATGAAATCCGTGGTTCGCCGCACAACGTCCTTTCTTCTTTGCTTTCATCATGACAGTGAAGTCCCGTATCGCATGAAGCCATACGGGAATGTTTTCTTCTCCACAGACATCCACCCCCACGAACGGAACCTGACACACGTTAGCAGCCACTGGACTCTGCTGCTACCCTCAGGCTTTCCGAGGACGAGACGAACGTGGGTGGTGGCGTTCAGGGATGATCGGGAAGCATGGCCCACTGCATTACAACGCTGGGGGAAACTCACCAAGCTTGCGAGTCCCAAGCTCCTAGTGCGTGTGAAGGGCTAGTTGAAGTCTCCAGGTTAGGCGATGCGAAACCCCCGCCAAGATTAAGCCCCTGTGAGAGCCACAGTGGAAGATCGCGGGCTGACATAAAAAATTGGGCTGTGCGAAACAAAATCAGGTGAGATTCCACTTGGAAGCCTGGCTGTTGGACCCAACCAGGGCAACAGGATGATGCGTTGGGATGGTTCCGAAGTTTCGAAAGACTGACAAGGGGAGGTTGTCGTGCTAGTTAGCAGGCCAGAGAGGTTAGGTTGGAGAAATTGGAGGTGACAGAGGCATAGTTTGAGTTAAGCATTAAGGTTATTTTGTTAGTGACCTCATATGGGGCCCGTCCGCCCCCCTTGAACGGGATCCCAGCCGCTGGTCGGCTTCGAGGTGACCCGGACCCCTTTCGAAGGCAACGCAGGGGTCGAGTCTATGGGATACGGGTCTCTTCGCGCGGTATTACGCTATCGTTGGCATATGGAAATCAGTGAATACGACGGTGCTTGCGTCTGCTGAATGCAATGTTCATTTTATCATTAAAACCTGGTGAGTTCTCCGTTATCTTACAAAATAAGTCTACTCCTACGCTTCAGATGTACGAGTCAGACGCCAGCAAGAATGGAGAGAGCTGCCATAACGGTTAGGTTGATTGCAACTATGGATTGTCTATCCGTATTTCAGCGAGGCCATTCCCGGGCATGTCCCTGAAGACGCGGGCCAAGAAGTTGTTGGATACTAATTATGCCCCTCATGCGCAACCTCGGACAATGTCAGTGCCTTTTCCCATTAACAAGACCTTGCATTATTGTGACTATTCACTCTAGGGAAGTGAATAAGTATAAATCGCTCCATGGGAGCTCGATGCATCGCATAAACCCGATTCTCTTGAGCTGGAGGAAGGCTAGCATAGAGAGTCCTCAACACTGGTACGAAAACAACATGATTAACAACCCGTGCCTGTTCTGCGAGAGTATTAACCTTGAGTGATCGCACAGTCCCATCGCAGCATCGTTAGTAATTTAACTCCATGCTGCAGTGCCTTGTCCCGAAGAAAGTCCCAGGCCGCTTACAAGTTCCCCCAGACAATCACTGTGAAGACAGTAAAACCAGAAAGAAAAATGACATCAAGCTCAACAGTGCCACAGGCAACCTCATGTTTTCCAAGGTTTTAGGGTTTTTATAACTGGCTCGGCTTCTGGCCTCCGCTCTCCAAATGTCACAACCCGGAGAAGTGCCTGGCTAAATGGCGGGGTCGATGGTCCCGGAATCCGTTTCCCATTGTGGTAGACCGGGTTTCGGTGTTATCGAATATCAACCAGTACTTGGAATACGAATCTTTTTGCGCATAAGTGCCGGGTTGTCTTTGGTCCCGTTGAAGACCGGTGTCAGTGCGGGTTGTCAAGATGGCAGCTTACTTGCAATGCTCTGATTCCTCACATAATCAACCCCGCTTTGACTCTAGGTCGTTGACAACTTATCCAAAGTTACTTCATTTGATCATCCATCTGATCTTCACTGCTGCACTCAGCTTGAATCACGATTAATCAACATGCAATATGCCTCGATCCTCGGTTGACATAATGGCTGTCTTCGACGGGCCTACTAGCCTTGAAGCCGGATGCCCTCATTCGAATAAAAACGTCATTCGGACCACTGCGCAGAAAAGATTCGCATTGCTGTAAACTCGCTCTTCATTCTGCTACAATAAACCGAATCATATAAAATGGCCGACCTGAGATCCGCCGTCTACGTCGCACCGCCGATTCCCAGCATAGTCCCTGGCTCGAACGCGACCGCAACATGGTCTCCGATCTCATGCACCCTCATCTACTCGGCAAACGAAGCTGTCTTGGTAGACACGCCGATTACCATCAAGCAGACAGAGGAGCTCATCGCCTGGATTGAGAACATTGCACCAAAACGCAAGCTCTCATACATCTACATCACCCACGGCCACGGAGATCACTGGTTCGGTGTACCTCTCCTGCTGAAGCGTTTCCCCGAAGCCGTCCCCGTCGCCACGGCGGGCACCATCAAACACATGGAGCAGCAGACTGAAGATGGAGTCTTCAACTCAATGTGGGAGGCCCGCTTTCCAGACCAGATCTACCGCCCCTTCACTCTTGCGCAGCCTCTATCCTCAAAGAGCGGTGGAAGCTTCAAGCTTGAAAATCGGTGGGAGTTCAAAGCCATTGAGTGCGGTCATACCGACACCTACGACTCAACTATTCTTTGGGTCCCCGACCTTAGACTCGCCGTCTGCGGTGACGTAGTCTATGGCCAGTGCCACCAGATGTTGATGGAAGCCAACACGAAAGCCAAGCGCGAGGAATGGATCAGGGCAATTGAGATTGTTGAGGCGCTTGACCCTGCTTATGTGGTGGCCGGTCACAAGATGGCGGGTGAGACTGATGGAATCTGGCACCTTGCTGCGACCAAGAAGTACATACAGGATTTTGGAAAGATACTCGAAAGGAACCCCAAGACTGAGAAGGGCCTATTTATGGAGATCTTGAAGTTGTATCCCGAGAGATTTAACCCGGGAGCCGCGCGTTTGAGTGCCATGGGTGCCTTCCAGGCTGCAAGAGAGTCACGTATTTAGGATGAGAAGCGCGACGAAATGAGATCAGTACCAGTATAATAATGACTGCTATTGACACGACTTGTGTCAAAATATGCCAACTCGGCTCATTTAGAGTGAACATGCATCTCTATGTCACCGCAACAATAGTACCTATATGCGAAAGGACGATGGCGGCCTATTGGATAGTTCGATGATTGATATGCCTTTGACAACAAGTATTCTAGTCTATTTACCGACGTACAAGCGACAATCATTACACTGTTGACGCATGTTTGCAACTATTGGAAATCTCGAGCGCATCATCAGTAAGTCCGCAAGATCTGCTGCTCGTGACTGCGGATTTGTGATCCAGCTATTATCACCGTCACGAACCTCGGTGCTCATGAATACTGTTTGGCTTGACGATCGACGACAAGCGGAATAATGACACCTGAAATGCGGGGTTCGCATTGCGGGAGCACATCGGTGTGACGTTTCAAAACACCATCTCCTGATCGATGCTGGTTCGGAAGCCATGATTACTGATATATATCGTCCCAGCAGATGCGGCATGCACGGATCCCGTTCCGGAACGGTATTCCACATCGGCTGGGAAGAACGAAAGCCGGCCGGCGCCTCTCGAGTCTGCATATTGAGAAGACTATATCTATTGCTCAAAGACGGAGTAGTACGTGTACATGTAGTGGTGGGTCTTCGCTAAGCATATACACTTGTGCCATCCAAATCATCTTAAGCACTATAGAAATCAAATCGATAACAACCACTCAATATGCCTAAATGGGTCTTCAACTGCAATGCCGGCGTCTTCACCGCTGCTGAGAAGAAACAAATCGCTGAGGGCATGACCAAGCTCTACACCAGCGTCGGTCTACCCGCATTCTACTGCCACACGCACTTCATCGAACTCGCCCCCGAAAATATGTATGCCGGCGGCGAGACACCTAAAGCCCTGACAACCGTCTCCATCTACCACATTGCGCGTGGCTTCGATACCCCGCAGGTCGAGGCATTCTTCTTCAAGGCTCTGGATGATATACTGAGGCCCATCTTGAAGCCAAAGGGCATTGAGTGGGAGTCTGGGATATATGAGGCGAGGAGGGAGTTGTGGAGGATCAATGGGCTTGTGCCACCTGAGACGGGATCGGAGATGGAGAAGAAGTGGGCCAAAGAGAATCGGGTTACAGATGAGGAGGATTTGTTCAAGGTTCAGAAACTTTCTAGACTGTGATCTATGAGATTGGCGCCTTGTATCAGGCCCAGGCAAAAGTACTAGGTACTGCCGGGAATTGGAGCTCAATTCTTAACATTTACTCATCAAAGCCTTGAACTTGTCTCTTCCTTCATGACTATCATCTCTCGAGCTGAGGGCTCAATTGCTTCATACACATTATCGTTACTAAAACTTGCACGCGGCCCATCAAAGAAGCAAGCAACTCTTAAGCTGTGGTAGTTGGGTCAGACCCAGGAGGCGCAGCTCCAGCACCTTGTCCAAGCACAATGGAGAAGACCACTGGCGTGTTCGGTAGAATCTCGGTCGTTGCGATGGAGACGAGATTCGAGCTCGTTATGGTGGGTTGTGTGGTTGTGATACTGGCAACCGTTGTGGTGCTTGGTGTCTGAGGGTCTGAGGAGCTCGCTGGTGAGGCTAGTGAACTTGACGCAGAGCCGGAAGGCGTAACAGAAGGGGAGGACGATGCAGGAAATGAAAGCGCCGGTGAGGTAGTTGAAGCACCCGCTGGCGAGCTTGACGAGGAGCTGAGTGTGGAAAAGGCTGGCGAGGAAGTTGGCGAAGACGTCGAGCTTAGTGAATTGGGCAAAACCGTAGACAAGGAGGTCAACAATGAGGGGGATGATAAGGAAGGCGGGGCGGACGAGGAGAAGCTTGATGTCATCGTGGACCGGGAGCTTAGAATGGCTGTCGTGGGCGAGCTTAATGATGAGACCGACGGGGAGATCAGCGGAGAGCTTGATGCACTTGAACTAGAGATGATAGTAGTTGTTGACGGCGGCAGCGATATGGACAGAATGCTCGTCAAGGTGGTTGAAGGCAAGGTGATGACCGGGGTGGAGCTAGACGGCAGTACCGGGGGCAAAGTCACAGGTGTGCTTGTTACGCTCGTGCTTGGACTAGGTTCCGGGGTGAAGGTGGTTGAAGCAATCCTGGATGTGTTTGTGAAGGGGAACGGAGCCGTAAGAGACGTTGACGTTGAAGAGGTTGAAGACCTTGTCGAACTACTTGATGAGCTTGTAGAACTTGAGGAGCTTGTGGTCGAAGAAGCTGACGTTGATGGAACCGCAAAGCTAGAGCTTGAGCTGCCAACGCTGCTGGAGCTGCTGGAGCTGCTTTCAAAGCTTGAGCTTGTCGTACTGCTGGACGAGGATGAGGGCGAAGTTGTCGAGGTTGAAGTGCTAGATGGACTAGTGCTACTTGAACTACTACTGCTCGTTGCCGACGATGTAGGAGAGGGAGTAAAGGTTGAACTTGACGAGGAGGTTGACGAGTTTGAGGTGCTTGAAGATCTCGAAGAACTGGAAGATGTCGCGGAACTGCTTGAGCTTGAACTAGATGTAGTTGAAGAGATCGTCGAGTTGGAATATGTACTTGTCCTGGAGCTGCTAGGGCTTGATGAAGGTGATGAGGTAATCAAAGAAGTAGAAGACGAGCCTGCGCTAGTTGAAGTCGTCGAGGAGCGCGTAGATGTTGATGATGAAGAGGCGGAGGAGGAGGAGGAGGAGGAACTTGTTGTAGAGGATCTACTAGACGAAGTGGAGGAGCTCGTGGACAAGCTACTCGATGACAAAGTCGTACTGGTGATCGTTGATGACCTACTGGAGGACGTTGAGGTACTGGACGTTGTACTAGTGGTCGAATTTCCACTTGACGACAGCGACGACGAGAAACTGGAAGAGGAGCCGGAGGAGGTGGTGCTGGTCGTTGTGCTTGAGCTCGACGATGAACTTGAAGTAGTAGAGGTCGAGGACGAACTCGAAGATGAAGCCCCGAGAGCCCTCACTCCAAACACCTCGTAAACGACGCTTCCAGTACTCGGACCGCCACAAGAGTATCCAGTCTCGAAGTAACAAGCTGTCGTGCACAGATTATCATCGGGTCCAGTGGAAAAGATGGGATTGATATCCTGAGAAGAACTCGGGCTCGGAGGTGAACAATAACACTGTTGGTAATTGCCTATCAGAGCAAAGTTTGAGCCGAAAGAGCTACAGCTCTGCTGACACTGTGTGGCGTTGCCAATCGCGTAGATGTAGTTTGTTCCGACAGTACCAAAGTTGCTAATGGCACCGCACCCTCTGTAGCTGTATCGGAAGCGAGGTGCTCTATGTTGGAGGGTGTTAGTTGGTCCGGCACTTGTGGTGGTAGACGTCGAAGTCCGTGAAGAGGACGTTGTGGTTGTTGAAGTAGTCGTAGACCTTGTGGAGCTGCTGCTGGTCGTTGTGGTGGTCGTGGTTCTTGTCGAGGATGTTGACGTTGATGTTCTCGACGTGCTGGTGGAGGTTGATGATGTGGTGGTAGACTGGTAAGCAAATTGGCGAACCCCGTAGACATTATAGATGACATCGCTGCCATAGTTTCCTCCACAAGCGTAGGGATTGTTATTGACGCAAGCAACGTTGCAAAGAGCGGCGTTGGGGTTTGGCACCGATGCGAGTATAGGACTCGGTGAATTGTTCGGGTTGCCAGGGTCCGAACACCAGCACTGCTGATTCGCATCGTTTCCTACAGCGGCGAACGCAGAACCGAAGGAGTCACAATCATTTTGGCAGTCTTGGACGTTTCCATACGAGTAAGAATAGTAATTGTAAAAAATTGCGTTGAAGTTTGTGATCTTGCCACAGGCGCTGTAAGCATAGCTGTACGCTGTTGGTGCTTGTGCTACTGCGTGAACCAAGGGGGTTAGGAGTCCCAGGCCCGTGGCCAGGATCTTGATCTTGAACTGGGCCATGGGCATTCTGGGGGAACGTCGTAGAGATAGGGCAGCGTTCCACCGTTGCTGCTCAATCGGCTTTACAAAGCCTGATGACTAGAATAGCCCGAGTTGGAGGGCCATAAATAGCAGGGAAGATGAGAGAGACCCGAGGGGTTGAAAAAGTCCTGGGCGTGAACGACGACAGGAGGCCGCAGGATCTGGCGAGGTATTTGATCGGGCCGTAGCATCTCGCAAAATATCACGTGGATTCATCAGTTGGCTCAGCTCCTTCGTATCATCAGCAATTATGAAATTGAATTGAGTCCCTCGAATTAGGTTCGGTTCTTGGCATGGGACTACATACCAACAAGACGCGTCTAGCACATTATCCGACATCGACGCTTCTCGTCCTTGGGGCCCGACTAAAGGGCCGACGATCGAGGTTCACAGAGAACGAGGCACGGAGAGAAGACAAAAAGAGAAATGATGATCACGGCGAATTAAGATTGCGGGAAAGGTCCTGATCTTGAACAGTTGAGACGTTAATTCTAATCCAGGTTCCAGTTCGTGTCTCGATCAGACCTTGGACCCTGGATCCTAGGCAATCCGGCCGAGCACAAGTTCTTTCTTGGACCAATTTGGCAAGGAGGCAAGCAAACTTGCGTTCCAAACCGCTTCAGCCCTGAATAGCTCGCTCCATTTTCAAGATGCCTGCCCTTGAACTTCATCCCAAGTGAGTTAATACGGTGGGTCCTCTCGGACTCTTTGCTCCCCATGCCTGATGCTTGAAGCTAAATGTTGACAAAACCCCAGCTCGTATTTCCAGGATAAGGTAGCCTCTACCCGCACGTCGGTACTTGGTGAAAGCTGTGTGCCAACGAACCGGGTAGCAGGGTCGGGTGTAACATGAACCGTCCAGACCGTGTAACCTGCTCACATTCCAGCAGTTGAATCCACGTGAGCCCACGCATAGCAATCCCCCACGCCACCATTCCCCGTGCTCCCCTCCCTTGGCGCGGTGCGGACCGGACCTGACACGCCAGGAACCCCAACGACGCCTCCAGGGCTCCTTGAGAGGTAAATTGAACCATGAAATCTCGCGCTCAGCTAGCCACTTGTGCAACGGCGAAAGCTTGATCGATGTGGGAAGCAACAGCCGCGCAAACCCAACGTCACTGATGGTAAACGGCTGAGAATCGCTGCTTAGATCGTCAAGAGGATGCGATAACTTTATTGATGCAACTATCCCTTATCCTCAAGTAGACAGGGCCAAGCAGGCATCGACAGCTTGCCCGACTCTGCCCTGTTTCTGGTGTACCACGTCCGAAATAATCTCCCTGTCAAGATCGGGGAACATCCCTTGCAGGGTCTCGACAACGTTATTGTGCTCTACCCTGCTCAAACGCTGAGCTTCAGCAACTTCAGCGCTTGCCTGCCTCGCTGCAGCTTCTTCCGCTGACAAGTGGTGGCGGGAAGACGGCGGCCGCCCATCGGGTGATATTTCGGCGCTTGGTCTAGGGGATAGTCGCTCGGAGGATTCTCGCGGCCTCGACGTCGGTCTTGATGCGTTACTAGGCACAGGCGGCGCAGGAGACGGCTCATCCGAAAACATGCGGCCAATTGTGCTGAGAGGCTTCTGAATAGAACGGAGAAGTCCCGTAATGGGAGCTTGGTCGTCTGAATCTTTTCCGCCTTCGTTTGATGACGTCGACCGACGGGGTGTGGACGACTCTCCCATGATGTCTAGGGAAGGCCTTGTCGAAGATTCTCCGGTCTGGTACCCGGTTGATGACTTCTCTGAGAAGACGGGTTCCTGAGCAACAGCGGGCGAGTCAAGGCGGTGTTTTTCGGCGATCGCAGATACCGCTGCTTCGACGTTTGTTTCAAACTCTTCGTCGGTAATGGTTAAGGTTGTCCTGTCCATATTCTCGATAAACTGAATTGCACCCATCTATGTAACGTCAGCGTTATGTAGCGTAGCTACGGTCACAATGAGACCTACCAGCGATGAAAGGTAGTATCCGGCTTCACCACCCAGCTTCTCCTGGTTTCGGAACCGTAATATGTACTGAACGTTTGACACCAAATGTTCTGGGTTGGCTTGAAGGACAACATAGATGAGGAGGGGCATGAACGAGTCGGCTGAAGAGTCCGACTTTGAGTGTTTGAGCAGGCCTATCATAGGTTAATCCCCAAAGCAGCGACATGAAGAAGAATGGCGACATACCGAAGATGACTTTGCAACAGTTCAGTACACAAATAATCTTGTCTCGCGGCGCTCGGTATGACTTAATCTTGAGGATTTCTTTGCACAGTCAGCGACCAGAGCGATGTTGAGATTGGGCGACTGGGTACCTTGCTGGGCGAGCTTCAGAAATCGCTTGCCACTATCACCGGCTGGCGGTATGTCAAGGTGCTCCTCCCGAAGCCACGCATAAATATTGATCTTCTGTGTCAAGATATCGTCTCGTTCCACGTCCTCTTGGTGTTGGCCACGCCGGCCAGGCCCCATCGGTCGCTCCCCGCCTCGTCTTTTCGGCTTCGCTCCAGGTATAGGCTGTGGGGGAGGGATCGCCGGTGAAAACGTTTGTGTGTAGAGCCTGTTCATGACCAGCTTCTCCATTCCTTCACGAGCATTGTCGAACTCTGCGTCGGAGACGTCTCGCCACACTTCACACTGCGCCATCTTGTTGGCAATGAAGGCGAGGAAGTCGCTAATGATTTTGACTTGCTCGTGTACCATCCACTGCCGCTTTCCAAACTCTGACAGAAATGACTTGAGGTATCTGGCGACTGGGTCCGCCTTCTTATTTCGTAGTTGTTCTAGGAATCGATGGAAGTCGAATGGCAGCGCCGGCTCTGGCTCGGGTTCAGGGGGTGGCGGCCGATGTACGGGCATGCCAGGAGACATCTGAGAGTCGATGCTCATCTGCCGATCATCGTGGGACCGCGCTGGTGTCGCCGGTGGCCCGTCTTTTGGAGGCACTGGCGGGCCTTGGTCGTCGGGTGCTCTTTCTTTGGAGAACATGCTAGCTGGGGAGGCCGATTGTATCCTGAGGCCTTGGAGCTCCTGCACCTGGTGAGATAGTGACGGTACCAGTGGCTCGAGGCTGGACTTCCGGGGTGGGTGCTGTATGCCTGGGCTACCTAACATAGGTGAAGCAATCTCCAGCCTTGGGCTCATGACTTCTTCCGCTCCAGGACCCCCACCGTCGCCAGTGAACTGCTCCATGATACTCTGGATTTCGGACCGCGAACCATTCTCTTGCTCATCTTCGCTCGCATATCTGCGCTCGTCATAGCCAGCATCAGATCGTGTAGGGGATGCAGAGGTAGGCCGGCGTTTGGCATTTGAGGGGGTTCGAGAGGGAGGCTGGGATGTCCGCGGAGTTGGGGGTGTTGGGTCGACATATGTCGTGGACTCGATAGCAAGAAACTGTGTGGCAGTCTCGGCAGGGAGAGGGCTCGTGGGCTTCAAAGTCGCTATCGACGAAGTCATCGGTTCCGGAATGGTCACTGGAGCAGGTTTGGACACAGTCTTGGGCGGATTCTTCGAAGATTTATCGCCCACGTTTGTGTCATCTTCCTTGGTGGTCGTCGTGACCGGGACGTCTTCGCCAAAGTCGATCAGATCGTCGGTCGCTTGTTTTTTACCTGCTGCTTTCGCTGACAGCACGGGCTGTTCGTCTTCGACATGGTTGTCAAGCTTGAGGAGCTCCGTTTCAGCCTTGGACCCCGCGGTCTCGGCGCTCGTCACCGGAGCGGCGGCAGTATCATTTTGGGGGTCGCCAGAGAGGCCGGAGGAGTGATCTGTGGGATCTGTAGAAGACATACACCACAAATCTTGTAGAGTAGGTTTGTTCGTTTTTGGTGAGCTCTAGTCAAGCCGAGTAGCGGGGTTCGGCGTCGGGTTGGGAGAGACGAGGCTCGAGCACAGCAAAAGGCGGAGGGAGGAATAGTCGCTGACATGCAGATGTGGCGGTCAAATTAGTCGAGCTGTGAGCGCCGGGGCTCGGTATAGGATGGGAGAAAAGATCGAGGATCAGCAGATCAAAGACCCTGGCTGCAGATGGGAGGTGTTGGGAGGTTATCAGTAGGAGGTGTGTTGCTGAGCTATCACGGGAATGGGATCAGCAGTCCAAGGTAGCAGTGGGTTGGCCGTGTAACGGCGGAGAGAAGGCTGAGAATGTTGGTGTGCAACGGTAGAGATCCCCACAATTCGTGGGGTGTGGCGGGCCTGGAACTGCACGCTGCAACGAGTGACTGACAGCAGCAAAGAGGGAGGGCGGGCGGGCGAGTTTTGGCCAGAGTTTTGCCGGAGATCCAGGGTCCCCAGGTGCAGAAGGTCCGACCGACGTCACTCAGACAGGCCCCTTCCTTCCTTCCTTACTTCCCTTTCCTCAAAATGGGGATATCGGAGGACACATTCTACCGCTCCGACCACCACACGTGACTCTCACGCCATGCCGCACCGGAGCCGAGCGGTGACCCTCGCCGCCTTGGACCGTTCGGATCCGGTTTGCCCCACTTCACGCCGTCAAGCCCCCGCTGTCGTTCCTGACTTGTTCTTCCGTCCCGGCGCACGGAGCCCCCCGCCTCTCAGGACTGTTCTGTCTCATCTTCCCCTGACATTGACAGGGAGTCAACCTTACCTGCTAGACCTCAACCTCGGCTCATAAAGAATGCATCGCCGCTGTCGACTCATTGATGCACCATAAGAGCTGAAGCGCCCATGAATCCAGGAGAAATTCTGCTCTCTCCTCCCATTTATGACAAGAATCAATCAACCAAACTGTCGGATCGGCGCAAGGGAGCATGTCTCAAAACCTCTCGCAGGTCTTTCTTATTCGGGGTGCTTTGACGGATGGATTTCACATCTTTTTCATTTTGTTTAATCTCCATTCCTCTGCGATTGCGCCGTTGATTGACCCACGGCGGAGCAGACAGACGTTTTTGACATCTTCTTGCTTTTTGCTCACCGTCCGGTCGGAATCCCTTCAATGAACCAGAACACCGCATTTCCATTTCCTTTATTTTGTCTGCCCTCTCGGGGTCTAGAATTCTGCGTTTCCCGCGTCCGAATCCCGTTGTCTGACATTACGCTCGGTCCTCTGACAAGTGTCAAGCGGCGAGACCTTCTTTTTCCTCCAGCCCAAAAGAGGATTTGACTTGACCTCCCCGAGCCGGCCGATGCCCACCACACCAGACGTCAGACCCGGGATGAGAGCGTGAAGTCTTACCTGTCAGAACGAAGCGCTGGTAGTAGGTAGCGCGGGCTCTGAGTCGCCAAAAACTTTCGGGCTCATCCTTGTTCAGGAGTCTGCTTTGTGATCAGTTTTCCGTTTCGATCCGGTCATCTCAAGTTTCAGGTTGGAACTTCTAGAACGTATCCTGTTCCTCCCAACTCAAGCGGTCCACAACGGACGCCATCAAGTTCGCAAGCTACACTTTTATCGACAAGCGCCGTTCTTGTGGCAGGGGACCTCGTGGTTGATGGACCACCCTTTCCTCTCTCTCTCTCTCTCTCTTTCTGATTTTTGCTCAGTGGCAGAGACGTCGTGTGGGAGGGTCACTGACAGCTGGCTGGTCTGAAGCCCATGAAGCCTGGTCTTAGTCAGTCTGAATCTAGCGTTCACTGTCACGAGACGAGGGCACTTCCTTTTACTTTTCTAGCTTCCTCTGGGCATCTGGAGTCGAGAAGCTTTGCGCTTAGCTGCGTGAACGTTGTGCTGACAGCAACCACCACGGCACGTCACATCTTATTGATGCCTTTCTTTTTCCGGAGTCGATGAACATCGGCCTATTTATCGTTCATTATGTTGGCTAATACGAGGCCATCCAAGGCCATCGGCTGCATGAGGCCCGAATGATAGAGTTCTACATCCAATTCCCCTTGTCCCCGAGCCTTCTTGATCCTGGGTCGTTCTCTAAAACAATATCTGCGAAACGGCGGTCCTACTTCCCGAATGAACAAGGCATGAGGGGCTCTCTACCTTATCGGATTTAGGCTACCGAAGAGAAATCAAGCAGCCATGCCTCGGTCCACTTGATCCTGCCTCCCGCCCTTTGGATCTCCGATAAACGACATCGATCAGGCTACATGCTGGATGCGCCACTAGCCAGGGGAAATCCAACGGGATGGCGTTGTGGAGTGGTCTTCCCGATGGCTTGGCTGCCGCATCCTGGAGACCTGCGACCGTGCTCCTCCGGGAAGGGAGTCGTGTTTCCCAAAACGGACAGACTTGCGATCTGGACAGTCCACCTTGGCCTGCGCCTCAGGAGATCCCAACGACCCCAGATGCATCTTACACGCCAAGGGATATCTTTTGAGAACGTCTCTTGCTTACTCTAGCTGATTCGAGAGATGCGACTGGCCCGGACGTTTGGAGCTATGGGACGAGGGTGACTTGATGTGGAAACGCCAACAACGGCCGAGGTGGAGGTTTGCACTAATCGTCATCTCAACACCAGCCCAACGGCGTGGGTTGACGTGCAGAAACTCTCTGTATAAAGGTTGCGGCCAGACCCTTTGACTTTATTCATCTCATCGTCATCATCATCAGCACATCTCATCTACAACACGCAGCACTCAGCTCGCTATCATTCCAAGCCCCGGTGGCAGTCATTCTCTTCCGCGACGCTGTATCTCAGTCTGCTCTGTGAGCCATTCTCTTCGACCTTTTCTCAAAATCATCACGATGAAGTTCTCCGCCGTTCTCGCCCTCGCGTCTATCGCGGCTGCGTTCCCCACGCTTTCCGAGCCCGAGCTTGATGAGCGTGATATTCTTGAAATCGAGGCTCGCGATATTGAAGCCCGCCAGCGCGGCCGTGTCGGTTCCACCGCCAAGGAGTTCTCGACTGGCGGTTGCAAAGACGTCGTTATGGTCTTCGCTCGTGGTTCTACCGAGATCGGCAACATGGGTACCATTTGCGGTCCTCAAACTGCCAACAACGTCAAAGGCCAATTTCAGAGCGTGGCCGTTGAGGGAGTCGACTATGCCGCTGGTCTCTCCACTAACTTCTTGCCTGGCGGCGCTGACCCCGCCGGTGTCGCGGAGATGAAGAAGATCATTGGCGAAGTCAACTCCCAGTGCCCCAACTCCATGTTGGTCGTCGGCGGCTACAGCCAAGGTGCCGCCGTCACTCACCGCGCTGTCGAGGACTTGCCCCAGGCCCAGAAGGACCAGATCGTGGCGGCCTTCATGTTCGGCGACACCCAGAACACCCAGGACAAGGCCCAGATTCCCAACTTCCCCAAATCCAAGACCAAGATCATCTGCGCCCAGGGCGATGCCGTCTGCAAGGGAACCCTCACCATCCTGCCGGCTCATCTGTCCTATGGCAACCAGGCTGGCAACATGGCCGACTTCATCAACCAGAAGCTCACTGCAGCTGGCGCACAGAGGCGCAAGTAGACGCATATCACGATAGTCATGTTTATGAGGCGGAACAAAGGGGAACATTTCATGAGAATCCATGTACACACTGTGGCTTTGCATGCATTAAGCGGCGGCCTTATTTTTTCTTCTTGTTTCTACTTCTCTCTGCAGGCATAAAGAGATATCCATTTCTACAGTTCACATATTGAGAAAGGCATTTTGTGTGTGTTTGAAACAGTGCAATGGTAGTTATTACGCCTCCTGGGTTTGTTATTCTGGCGACGGAATATCCGGTGAGAGCTTGATTTAGCCCAGGTACTTTACCTGAGGCTGGGTACAGATTCATGGGAGATGGGCAGCCAAGACACGCCCCAGACACTCGTTGATCGATGTGCAATAAAGAAGAAAATTCTCCGAACCTTGTGCTCCATTGTGAGAGATGTGTGTTGTGCTCTGTGACAGTTGATGAATGAAGGCCCCGGCATTTCGGGATTCAGAAGGACGGGGTTATGCTGGCGACGGGGGAGGCAACGGGGAGGCGGACGGCGCCGTTGTCGTACAGTGCTTACATAAGTCTGTTTCTTGGTGACACTGTACGTACCTCTAAGACTCCCGGCCTTGTCGCGTCTGATGACTCAGGCAGAACCACGGCCTGTTGCACTGTGGTGCGGCATCTTCTGACATCCCGCTGCTTCTTCCTCCACCAAACGTCAAATATTCACTTCCGTCTCCCCGACGTCTTGTTCGTTTTTTCATCCCCGGTTCGCACTTCGAAGCACATCAGATGGGATGAAGGTATCATTCGACCTCCCGTCGGCAATGCATAGAGGTGCTCAGCTGGAAATGATAAACACATGCCGACTGCGCCGGCAGCGATTAACCTCCATCGAAGGCCACCATTCCTCTTCAAGGCGGCCATGAGAATTGTGTGTGCGTGATACTCCACCAATGTGCGACGTCGCGACAAAGGGTGTTGCCTGTTCAGCTTTCGCCCGAACTTTCTGCCCTCGTATGACGCTCGTCGGGGAGACAAAGGCTGAAGCGTGCCGTACACTCCTAGGGCTGGGCGGCTGAAAGTCTGAAGACACCAGATGGCATCCGTGCTCGACCTTGCCATTCGCACCTCGGACGCCTTGTTTTCTCCGGACGCACGGGGCCTCGATGTCGCTTGCTGTGGGATCCGCGGATCAACGTGGACGGGACGGGGGGAAACATGATTGTCGCCAATACGCGGAGCCGCCTGGCAGAATTTATTCCAGGAGCCAGCCGTTACGCCGATCTACCTAAACAAGACTTCGAGATGGAACAAGGCCAGGCAGTTCGGCTCCGGTTGACCGGTTCGCGGCTAGCGACGCTTCGAGCAGTGTGCCCGAAGCCAAGCCATACGTTGGACGCAGTTCATCCCTGGCGTCAGCTCGTTGCTTTCTTGGCGCCACTGCATTGGAGGGCTGCGAGCGCAGCGTTAAGCTTTCGCCCATCACCACATGCACCGCACGTGGAAGAAGACTTTCACTGGCAGATGGCAGATGACGGCGTTGTGCTTCTTTTTGAACTCTAGAAGAACTTTCGGTTGACTTCAATCAGAATGGCCTAGCCGCTCGATCTAATCAATCGAGTCCGAGAATGCACACTTGCACTAGCAGCAATGCCCACCACAAATATCCATCAATGACCAGCGAGAACCCCGGCCAGTGTGCCCACCACGTGGGGAGATCAACACGGGATAATGGTACCAACGAGGAATCCGCCCGCTGATTCCTGCCCTGGAGAATCGTCGCTGATTGATATCCTTAGCCACAGATTACGCCTACTGCATCTAATTTCGCCAGTTTTCCTTGGCAGCCCACCTTTGCGCGGGATGCAGGCCGTTAATGACGAACTCGGTGCCCGCTGTTTCTTCTCCATTGCCGCTCCCCATGGGTTTTCCTCTCCTGTCATCGAACTTGGCCGGGGAAACACCAGAATGGCAGTGCGCATTGTCGAACCCTCTCTTCTGCACGTCCGGCTTCGTTGAAGAATTCGGATGATCTCAAGTGTTGCGTTCGAACTTGCTGCAGCCTTACGATCTCCAAAGGATCCGAATCGATGCGACCGCTCGTTTTTCGCACGGAAGTGATCCATCACGCAAGACGCGACTCTTGCACGTGTCACTCGCTCAATTAATGCCGCCGCTACGATGAACGAGAAACCAACGACGGAACCACCATCTGTGGGCGATGCGCTGAGGTCCGGTCCCGACGAAGCCTCCGACAGAGCGCGGTGGCTGGGCGCTAGTTCGACACGCGATGCTGTAATGTGGTGCAAGAGTGTATTTTACGAAGTTGTCCTAGGCCGAAAGACATTGCCGCCTTCAAAGAATGGCCGCATCATTCCACTGCAGCTGGACCAAGATGCGCCCTTAACCGACGAACGACGAGGCGGGCATCCCTTCCTTTCCAACACCATCCGAACTTCCCGATACACTGTTTATGACTTCATCCCGAAACAACTCTTCTTCCAGTTTTCCCGAATTGGCAATTTTTATTTCCTTTGCGTGGGCGTCCCGCAGACCGTGCCTGGCCTCTCGACCACGGGCAACTTCACGACGATTTTGCCGCTGCTTTTCTTCGTTCTAGTCACTGTCGCAAAGGAAGGATATGACGATTTCAAGCGCCACCGTCTCGACAAGGTGGAGAACGCTGAGACATCGCGTGTGCTCAAGCACTCGAAACATCGCAACACTAGCTCGCAGACCTGGCAGTCCAAGCTTCGAAGCGCTCTCTCGGGAAGTCGCCAAGTACCGGGCACCGGCCCGGCAGTAGATGATGGACCCTGGATAACAACGAGATGGTGTGATATCGAAGTTGGCGACCTCATCAACTTACGAAGAGACGATCCGGTCCCTGCCGATATTGTATTGCTACATGCCGACGGCGAAAATGGCCTTGCTTACATCGAGACGATGGCCCTTGACGGCGAGACCAACCTCAAGAGCAAGCAGGTTTCGGCTACACTGGAAGGATGCGATTCTGTCGAGAAGATCCTGGCCTGCGATGCCGAATTCGTGGTCGAAGACCCAAACCCTGACCTTTACAAGTTCGATGGTCGAGTGACTGTCAACGGAAAGTCACTGCCCCTAACTTCCGCCGAGGTTATCTACAGAGGCAGCGTTCTGAGAAACACAGCGTCCGCGATTGGCATCGTTGTCAACACTGGGGAGGAGTGCAAGATTCGCATGAATGCTAATCAACATCCCAAGGCCAAGAAACCCGCGTTGGAGACCGTGGCCAACAAGATCGTCGTCTCCCTGGCGCTCTATGTCATCATCCTTTCCGTCGGCTGCTCCATGGGATACGTATTGTGGCAGCGGTCGCAGGAGAGAAGGACATGGTACCTGAAGGGTGCTGAAGTCAAGTTCTACGAAATCATCATTGGTTTCATCATCCAATTCAACAATGTCATTCCGCTGGCATTGTACGTCAGTCTCGAGATAGTCAAAGTCGGACAGCTACTCATGCTCAATTCCGATGTCGAGATGTATCATGCCGAAACGGATACTCCAGCTCGATGCAATACGAACACCATCCTCGAGAACTTGGGCCAAGTCGGCTACATTTTCACCGACAAAACGGGCACACTGACGGAAAACGTGATGAAGTTCCGCAAACTAAGCATTGCCGGCACAGCTTGGCTGCATCAACCGGACGTCGAAGTTGCAGAAGGCGATAGCGAAAACAACAGCTCTGTAGATACTCTGTCTGAGGCTAAGGGGATCCCGCGCATTTCAACCCAGCACATTCGAAACGACGCTATCGTAGACGACTACGTTCAATCTCCAACAACTCTCGGCAGACCATCTATGGCTCGCTCACGAGCACCATCTACACGAAGATCGTCTTCCCAGTGGAGATCCACGGGCCGTCCGGACCACGTGCAGCCCGACGTCACCACTAGCGATCTCTTAGAGTTCATCTCTCTGAGGCCTCACTCTCTATTTGCGAGACGAGCAAAAGATTACATCCTTGCGATGGCACTCTGCCACACATGTCTTCCGGAAATCCGCAACGGCGAGGTCGAATACCAGTCTTCTTCCCCAGACGAGTTGGCTATGGTTAAGGCGGCACAAGAACTCGGCTACACTGTTGTTTCGCGGACATCCTCAAACATCACCTTACGGCAGAGCTCTGATGCGAGTGATGCGACCAAAGATATGACGTTCCAAATTTTGGATGTCATCGAGTTCAGTAGCCACCGGAAGAGGATGTCCATTGTCGTGCGGTATCCCGATGGTCGTATCTGCATTATTTGTAAAGGCGCAGACTCGGTTATCCTGCCAAGACTTAAGATGGCTAGCATGGCGTTGCAAAAAGCCCACGATGTGAGGCAAAGTGCGGACCTTGAACGCGAGCTTTTGCGCAAAAGTGAACAGCATGAGCCGAGAATCAGCATCGGTGGTCGTGCTAGCATGTCTTTGCGAAGAAGCATTGGTATCGCACGCGGTACGCCAGGCCCGAGTGTTCGGCCTCCTATGGATCGTAGTCAGTCTTTCGAGACGAGCAAGTTGCGCAAGTCGGGCGATCTCTTACGACCATCCATCAACATCCGCACGACTTCATTCGAAGCTTCGCCGGGTTCGCCGACTTTGCCGTACCACACTCCCGAGAAATTCGCCTTCCTCGACGACCCTACCATCGCCGACGACTCGACCATCTTTACCAGATGTTTCAAGCATCTTGACGATTTTGCCACCGAAGGCCTCCGAACGCTGCTTTTCGCCCAAAAGTTCATCTCGGAGCAGGACTACCTCACCTGGAAGAAAGCATTCGATGCCGCATCTACCAGCTTGACGGATCGCCAAGACAAGATCGAGGCTGCAGCGGAAACGATTGAGCAGTCCTTCAACCTCGTCGGTGCTTCGGCGATTGAAGACAAGCTCCAACATGGCGTTCCGGAAACCATCGATAAGTTACGGAGGGCGAACATCAAGATCTGGATGTTGACAGGCGACAAACGTGAAACGGCCATCAACATTGCCCACTCAACCCGCATCTGCCAGCCAGTGTCTGATCTGTACACCCTGGACGTCACTAAGGGAGACCTTCAGGGCCAGCTCGTGGCATTGTCCGAAGATTTGCACTCTGGCTGTGTCCACAGTGTTGTCGTTATCGATGGACAGACCCTGGCGACGATCGAGAAATCGGACGACTTGACAGCCCAGTTCTACTCGGTGGTTCCTTGTGTCGACTCTGTCATTTGCTGTCGAGCCTCACCAGCGCAGAAAGCGCTGATGGTCAAGACTGTTCGCTCCCAGCTACGAAAGCTGAGGGGTCAGATGGGCCACGGTCTTACACTTGCCATTGGTGACGGCGCCAACGACTTGGCAATGATCTCTGCTAGCCACGTCGGCGTCGGCATCTCTGGAAAGGAGGGTCTACAAGCTGCTCGAGTAGCCGACTATGCCATCGCTCAATTCAGATACCTTCAGCGACTGCTTCTCGTGCACGGGCGATGGAATTACGTCCGTACAGCCAAGTTCATCTTGTGTACCTTCTGGAAGGAGATGTTCTTCTACCTCCCCACAGCACTGTACCAGCGCTACAACGGTTATACAGGTACTTCATTATACGAAATGGCTAGTTTGACTGTCTTCAACACGCTCTTCACCAGTCTGTGCGTCATCTGTCTTGGGATCTGGGAACAAGACCTTAGTGCAGACACCTTGCTTGCCGTTCCCGAGCTTTATGTGTACGGTCAGCGAAACATGGGTCTAAACCTGGCGAAGTATGCTGGTTGGATGCTGTCAGCGGCAATCCAAGGTGTGTTGGCATACTGGGGCGTCTGGGCGGGATATGTCTGGTTTGCGCACTCGAGTGACCAGGGTCTTTACGCCGTTGGCAACTTAGCGTTCACACTTGGCGTTGTCTGGATCAACTACAAGTGCTTGTAAGTTGAAAATGCATACTTTCTTGTCTGAGGATCAGGACTAACTCTGTTGCAGCATTCTCGAGACGCACCACAAATCGGGTGTTGTAATGGGATGCTTCCTCCTCACGTTCTCCGGATGGTGGGCTTGGCAAGGTTTCCTCTCGTCGATCTACACCCGGGCCCCGTCAATCTACGCCGTACGTGACGGCTTCTCAAAGACCTTTGGTCGGGACTGGACATGGTGGTTGACGCTGATTGTGATGGTCACTCTCTTCATCCTCATGGAGACTATTTTCCGCACCCTTCAGCGTTCTCTCATCCTCGCGGGGATGTGGAGGTGGCCTTGGGTTCGCAAGGAGGACGACGTTTGTGCAGATGAGTGGCGTTTAGAGCTCTGGCAGGAGCTCGAGAAGGATCCTGTTGTGAGAGAGAGGCTGAAAAGGTTGGCCAGTAATGAGGATGAGGAGGAGATGGAGGATTGCGAGGATGTTGTGGTTGGTGAGTCTGAGAGGGCAGGTTGAGTCATTCCTTTGCGAGAGATACCCCTTCTGTTCTATACACCGCCTTAAGGACCTGAATATTTGCAATCTGCCTTATTCAGCTGAACCGTCTTTCTATCACCAGATCCTTGACTCACATGGGAGGTACGTATCGAGGGCCTGTAGCTTTCGGTGGATGAAGCAAGGCAATTACACCCTGTACTTGATCCTGCCCGTCATCACACACTTTTCTGCACGATGAAGTTCTGCAAACGCAATCAATACGGCTTGTCTCATCCTTCGAACTCAGCCTGCGCATGAGGTGGAGAGGCTCATCGATGTGGAGGTCATTGAGAAAGAGACAGTACTTATGGTTGAAGGAAGACAATCCAGGGGTATTTGGAGTGAAGGGTATGTATTCACAGCCTCGAATTTGACGCGGAGGTTGTTTTAAAGGTACAGCTATGACATCTTACTTGTGCATCGCCAACCCCGGCGATGCCGGAACAGGGCCCCACACGACGGGGCACCGGCCCGGGTGGGAGCTTGCAGTGCCGTGGCGGAGGACAGTGCATCACCGTCACAACCAATCATTTACGCCGAATTACGACAAGCCGGGGCTGAACTAGTCTCGTTCCCATTTGACGGGTGAAGTTCCTGGTTGGTCGGACGGCGCCATAAGCACTAACTAACAGTTGCCCTCTTCCCCCCCTGTGTTCAACTTGAACGTACGGAGTTGCAAGCGACACGAGGTACATAAAGAGCATCCTCTGCCGGCAAAACCGTTTCAATTGCAGCAGAGTTTTGATGCTTATGTACAATCGGCTTCAAGACATCATGTTTAGCATTCTGGGGCTTGACAATGGCTTCGTGCCCTCAGTGGCACTACTCACCGCCATCCCTGCGATGCTATACCTCGCCTATCTCATCAGATCTCCCGTCACAATGGATGCTAAAGAGCCGCCTCTCTTGCGCCCGACGGTTCCCTTCATCGGCCACATCATCGGCATCTTTCAACACTCGTGGGAGTACCTTGACCTCGCCTAGTAAGATTCTCGTCAATTCCCCTGATGCATAGCACAGCCAATACTGAAATGCCTATGCCAGTGCAAAGTACAAAGCTCCCATGTTCACTCTGCCCATGCTAGGCGGCAAGATGTATGTCATAACGGAACCCGAACTCGCCCAAGCAGCACTCCGCAACCGCTCCCTCAGTTTCGACCCGTTTCTGAGGGACCTCATCAAGGGGATGGCGGGCGCCAGCGCGCAGACTATGACTTCTTGGGATGATCCCGCCTTTTACGGCCCTTGGGTGAAGAGTATCTACGGTGGTATGGCGGGGCAATCTCTTCTTGGACTCAATATCTCCGCCGTGAGAGGGATTGCCACTGCGTTGAACGAAATTGGTGACGATGTCGAGGTTGCGAATCTGTACAAGTGGAATCGAGAGTTGTTTACCCTGGCCAGCACGGATTCGCTGTATGGAAGCAAGAATCCGCTCAGAGTGGATAAAAAACTCATCGAGGCGTACTGGTAAGTTCCTTCAGATGATGCTCTAACTTGAGATGAAGTGGTTTGACTTTGAGTAGGGACTACGAAGAGGACGTCAACAAGCTTATGATGGGCATACTTCCCTCTCTCATCGCACCGAAAGGCTACCGCGGCCAAGCCCTCTTCCAAGAAGCCTTTAAATCCTTCTTCGACTCCCAGCTCCACGAAGGCGAGGACGTCCCATCTCTCGTCAAAGACCGTCGGAGACTGAGCATAAGTTTCGACATGACTTCAGCAGAAGCCGCCAAGATTGAGTTGATCTTCCTCCACGGCGCCATCTCGAATACCTTTCCTGCATTTTACTGGTTCTTCACCCGAGTGTTCAGCCAGCCTGAGCTTCTTTCGAGACTTCGCGAGGAGGTGCAGAGCGTCATTGAGGAGAAGAGGCGGGACATTGTCGATGGGAAAGAGAAGAGAGTGTTTGTGCTGCATATTGAAAAGTTGGAGGAGAAGTGCCCGCTGCTCATGTCGTGCTTCCGCGAGACGCATCGGTTGTATGCTGCGGGAATTCTCGCGAGGAAGGTCATGGCTGATACGACTATTTCTGACGGGAAGATGAGCTTCGTCGTGAAGAAGGATTGGCAGATTTCTGCACCGCAAAGAATTCTGCAGACTGACTCTGGGATTTGGGGAGATGATGCGTTGGAGTTTATTGGGGATAGGTTCCTGAAGGTTGCGAAAGAGAAGGGGGAGGCGGTTGTCAATGTTGCTGTGAGAGGGTTCCTTGGCTTTGGGGGAGGGAAGCACATTTGGTAAGTTACTTACTCCCACAATCCTTCTGTCAATGAGTCTGTTGAAGCTGACGACGGCCATATAGTCCCGGCCGGTACTTCGCGAGTGGCGAGCTGTTGGGATCTCTGGCGCTACTGGTCGCTGGGTTCGACGTCACCAGTTCGGATGGGAATGCACTTGTGGTTCCAAGGGTTACGGCTGTGCCTTTGACCGGATCTTTTGGAAAGCCGGTGTCGGGCAGCGACCTCGAGGGTCACTTGCGCAGGAGAGCGGGGTGGGAAGATGTCAGGTGGGAGGTTGCTGCATAGTTGATGATCGCCACGAGGGAACGAAGGCTGAAGGAACGAAGACTGAAGGTAACGGAGGCTGAGGCAGGAGTTGGACCAAAGAACCTAGCTGAAGAGGCGCAAGTTTTCTTTTTACGCTTTGCCTTTCTATGCATGTGGCTATCTCCAAGTAATGGATATTAGCCTGCATATCATCCAGCTCTCCTCTTGATTTCCAAAAGAATCCTAAAGCGGTTACTAAGCACTTTCAGTCTCTTCCGTCTGAGGTACCGAAGTCTCTTTAAGAACCCCCCTTCCAAGTAGAAATGCTTCTTTCTTCTCGCATAGCAAAGAGTACAGGGTCCTCAGCGAATTCTAACAAATCTCATTAATTGACATATACAATGCAAGATGTCTTCAACGGCATACACTGATTAAACCACTGTAAGTTCTTTTTGTTCAGTCTGCATGGCATAGTACGCCCCACAATCCGACGATTTACATCATTAAACCAGTCCCAGGCAGTCCTTTGTTGGCACGAACCAAAGATGCACCTTTCCGTGTGATTCCCCCAGAGATACTGCGCTTCCCCATCTCTCCTCTTCTTCCGGGTATAGAAGTGACGCAAGTTCCCGACATGAGTCCCAGATCTCTCGTTCAGATTACCAAGACCACATCAAACGCAGGACAGATTAGACTCTCCGACTACCTGAAGAAACCCTTCGTGCTTGCCTTCCTTCTTTCCGTTCTCCTCCTCGCCTTCGTCTGTTCTCCTCTACTTTGCTTTCCGCCGGCGTATTCGGTTCAGAATATTCTCCCCTCATAGAGCAGCGCTAGACCAAGGCATCCTCTCTGAACTCTTAACATGAGGCCCTCCGTACTCCTTCCCGTCGCTGTGGTGATTTGTACTAGCCCTGGCCGAGCCCTAGCGGCGTGGGACATGAGTTACGCTGAAGAATCCGCCGAGGGTCTCTTCGCCAACGCCCCTCCAGAGGAGCGCTACTACAAGTAGGTCTACTTACGTTTTTGTACGATAAATAACACTGGTTTACATTACTGATTTTGTTGCTCCAGATTCGCTTTTGCCGAACTTGTCGCCAGTACGCAAAATCTTAAAAGCCGACAACAAGCCCGAATCGCTATGCAGGACGAGGAGATCCACGAGTTGAAGATGGTTGCTCTTACCTCACGGAATCAATCGTCGAGGCGAAGACCAACGCGAGCAAGAACCTCTTGCACGAGCTGAACAAGATTTCCGAAAAAAAATGGAGGCCATCAGCTTGATTCTGCAAACTTTCGCTTCTTCCGGCCAGTTCCAGGCCTCCGATGATAGCGACGCGGTTAGGAACACCGTCTTCCATGGCTTCAACCCAATCATCATCAAGTTCCTAGAGCGCATCGCTACAAAGCTGGAGAAGCCGGAGTCAGCGTGGTCTGCAGACAAGAAGACCATGGCCACCATGGCCATCTTCACGGGTATTACAACGGCTCTCAACTACCTGAGGGGGCCAATCGGTCGAACTGGCTGCTACAAGAAGATTGCGAAAAAAAAATAGGCTGCCCAGAAGAGGAGAAGCCGGCGAAAAAGACCGCTCTAGAGGCTTTGGAGGCACAAGTGAATGTCATTCAAGCCGCCGTAAATGACAGGGTCAAGCATGAAGAACTCGATCTGTTGAAGGGCGAGCTCGATGGAGAAGTCGAAACCCTCACAGGCCGTGTTGACGCGATGGCTACGGCCGAGAGTGTTACTGATCTGGAGCGCCGTATTTCCGAGCTAACAATTACGTTGAACATCCTCGGGGGCAACTTTGAAGAGCAAGCGATCAGAGGTAGTGTCGAGCTAAAACACTGAGAGACAGCATAATCGCTTTGAAGAGAAAATACAAGGAAGACTACAAGAATGCCCCATCTCGAATTGGCACGCTCGAGGCCAACATCCAGAACACCGCCAACGACCTTGACGCACATAAGGCCCAATTCAGCCACTTCATGTAGGGTCGCTCCCACGTCTACCCCACTTACAGGGACTCCCCTCTGAAAATTCGAGTTGTTGCCAAATTCCATGCGAGGGAGGAATTGAAGATGAACAAGAACCTGAGCAAATAGAGTGATCTTCGAGGTGGAGTATCACTTTTGAGGTACGCGTCGAGGGTCTGGGGCATAGGATTATCACTAAATATTCTATTTCTTTCTCGAGATGTCCATGTATGTATTTACTCAAGTGTCTTCTACCGAAGGCTTGTGCTCTTGAATCCTTACACAGCCGTAACCTCGGCCTCAGATCAATATCACCAAGGATAACGAGCAGACCCTAGCTGCCTACCATATTCAATCCAGTGCCTTCCATTCCGGCAATCTCTGTCGTCACACCAGAGAAGGTGTTTCATTTCATTATCCGAATTTGAACAATAGGTATTAGGATCGAGAAGCGCATCAACATCGGGCACTTCCCTATCTTCATTCGTTCCCGTAACGAATGTGCTCAACGATCGTCGGGATAAATACACGTCCGCTTCGAATCGATGCCACTGATATGTTGTGTCACAGCCTTTACATTCAACCTGATGACAATCCTCAGCGCCAAATGGTATGAAAATGGTTTTGTCGCGTTTGTTTTCTCTGGCCAGTGATTTACAAGACCACCACTCAAATTTGCAGCCTTCCACGGGAGATTTGGCGCCGGAAACCGCGCCTACCCGACTATCTGTCCCTAGGCAGGAGCAACTTTGTGGGTCAAAAGGCCTCAGGAGTTGCCCATCGTCATAAGTGACATGCGGGCAAAGCAGATCGCCATACTCATGACCAAATGCTTTCAGCTCTTGAGAGGGACGAATGTCTGTGACTTGTTCCTTCTCAGCCACACGAAAGACTGGCAGACACCAATGAAGACCCAAAGAGTGCTGCAAAGCGTCATGTCCATGTAATGGTCGACTTGATACAGTTGTCTTGAGCATTACTCGAGGGGCGTACCATGGAGTAAAAGAAAACATGTGAGTGGGGTCGTACTTTGCTAGCGTCGAGGAAGCTATTACTCTGCAATCATTGCAGCGCGCGAAGCAAAATCCATCTCCCAGCTTCATTCGGGCGATATCGACTCCTTCTTCGTTCATGACTGCCTGGCGGAGAGAAGATGGCGATATCGTGATATGGGGGCAAACTCGGGCCACCCCTTCAGAGCCAATACATTTGCGTGTCTCGGAGGATTGATTTCTCTGTTGATGAGAAAAATGCAATTTTGGGTGCCGGTGTCCGCACTCGGAGCAAAACAGAAACTCGCCGTAGTGGAAAGCCCAGCACGATCTGTTGAAGTTGGTCATCTTCCTTCGAGTTGAACAGGCGACGTAAAACCCAGTCTCCTTTGCCCGCATACGTGTCTCCTTGTCTGTGCATATCTTCCCCGTCACACTTGAATCCCATAAACTTGCTCGAATATACTCATCCTTTCTGGGGCAGTGGAATTCAGCAAACGTTTTATCTTGATAGATCCTCCACAAGGTGAATAACACTTGACGTAGCATATACATGTCGACAGTATCCAGTCTTTGCATGATGCGTAACAGCAACTCATCCGGTAGCCTTATGAGAAGACTGCGGCGCAGGTTTCGATCGAATTTTATCTCCCAGCTCGATGGCCCACTGGAATGCGTAATGGGATGTGTTTTAGTCCTTTCGATCTGGGAGATACTGGTATGGTCAGAGACTTCTGGAGCTTTCTGGACCTCTCTCAAAGCGAGTCGGCTTGAGCTTTCCGCTCTAGGTGATACAATATGAGAAAGCGACAGGGCGTTGGTCTGATTTGTAACTTTGAGGGCTTCCTGGGCCTCATCTGGAATGAATTGACTTAAAGATTCCGCGTCAGACGGTATAGTATGAGAGCTGGCGTTTTCGGCTGAAAACTCCACCGGCTTTCTACTCATCAACTTTTCGACGCTGCCTTTGACCAAGCCACAGAGTCCGGCAAATATGAGGTAGAAAAGACCCATTTTGGCGGCCAAGAATTTCAAAATTGGCTTTGGCGCTCGACAAGTCGATGTCTTTGTAGAAGTGAAGAGTGCGTATTCAGGTTTGAGGGTTTGGGTCATAGGCGAGTTCGATGTTTGATTTATTGTGGACATGGAACGATGGGGCCGTATGGGAATATTAATAGCACATCATACCTATAAATTCACCATCAAGGTGCCATTGTTCCCGAACTTTCAATTCACGTGAGCGTCCTGACACTACGCACCTCGAAACTCTGTATGGTCATCAGGGTGATTCATGATACGGCCAGCAGCGGCGAGATCTTGAGGGTTTGCACTTGGCCTACAAAGGACTTGATACGTTGCCGGAGTTACTCTGAACAGTCAGGGGCTAGATCTGTGTCCCCCTATTCTTGAGATCGTGTGACCCTTTCGTCCGAGCTGGCTCTTCACGTGATGTGGTGACCGTGACACATAAGTCTAGTGACGACTAAGACGCATGGCGAGTGTATTAACGAGAGAAGTATGAAGTGGCTTCTGTTACTCATTGGAATTGAACGCGGCAATACAGGACTCAAATTTATGATGTCTACAATTGGCAGTCTGTATCATGAGGCCGTCCGGCGTCTGATTCGTAGTGCCGGTGATAGTGTACCTACCATGATACAGAACCAACGGAGCTTCGTTGACCTCAAGCGGACCAGTCCCAGCATCTGCAGCTGCTTGTCTTAGACATGGAGATGTCTGCATAATCTGGCAAAAACCTAGTCTTATGCCCCAGAATCAACAGCATCTACATTGATTGTACGGAAGCTTCACTGTGCGGCACTGTTTCATTCAGACCCATGTGCCAAAAGACATGATTCTAACCCTTATGTCGGTCAGAGATGCTGTTGTGTAATCCACGGCGGACGCAAGTCCGTTGCCGCGAGTATTGTTGAATTCGTCACCGCAGCTTCTGCGACCCAAACATGGATTATTCAAACCGCGGTGAAGACTGGAGAGCCTGCACAAGTCCTCGTTGGGACAGGGGCCATTCTTCGACTGCAGGGCCGAAGCAAACAATCAACTTGCGGCACAGAGCCAATAGGCCAGGATAAACTGTCGGAGTTTCCCCCAACAGGTATCGGAGAGGGGTAACCGATCGCAAAATGACACGACCTTGAAGCAGGTTCAATTTACCGTACGGCCGAGATTTCAGGTGGAGCGGGATGACATGTCCGTAGTAACGGGCGAGAGATGCTGCGTCCTTGGTATAATCTCTCTGTGGAATGCAGTAAGTGCTTCTCGAAGGAATTTGATCGTCTCTCGATGCGTTCAGCTGCGTGTCCTCCGCCGCTGGGGCGCACCTGAAGCCGCGGCCACAGTCTCGTTTGGTCACGTCTTGAGTTCTCACACAGAAAATGAGACATGAAAAAGGGCCAAAAGGCTTTTTTTACTAACAAAAACAGAACTTTTACTTTGGTGGTGAGACCTGTGAAATCTAAACTTAGACATACGACATCTTGAACACCTATCTCTTTTCGATGTCCGCATCATTCCCATTCACGACAGGACCCTCGGCCTCTGAATCCTTAGCCGGCTCGGCCCTGCCGACAATCTCTGAGCTTCGGAAAAATACAACCACAATAGTAAGAGAGGTGATGCCGAGCGCAAAATTCATCCAGTTGGCGGCCCGCAGTCCGTCCAACGACGGTTGGTCCCACTCCAACACCGGGCCTGCTTCTTCCACCGATACACCCCTGGCCTTGGCCATGATGGCCGTCTGGACGGCTGTGGAGATAGCCAGGCCGATGGAACGGCCAACCTGCCCCACAGAGTTGACGAGAGCGCCGCCAAGAGCTTGGTCCTCCTGGGGCAGGGCCTTGGAGACAAACAGAATGAGGGTGGGCCATGCCATGTCCGCGCCGATGACTGACAGGATCATAGCAGGTAGTCCGTAGGCGAAATATGATGTGCTCGTGGGTATCGGTGTTGCAAAGAGCAGACACGCAATGGAGACGGAGACATTGCCGCAAACGAGGAGTATGTACGTTGGCACACGCGAGATGAGAAGCGCAGCTGCCCAAGCCACCATAATTCCGCCGATGCCGGTGGGAAGGAAGTATAGAGTGGTCGTGAGGATAGACTTTGCCTGGTAGTCCTGGTAAAAGTAGGTCGCAAAGATGAGGAAGTTATTGAAAGAGGCAAAGAACATGGCCATGATGGCGAGTGCGGCACAAAACTTTCCGCTGTGGAAGATGGAGGTCTTCATGAGTGGAAGGCGATCTGTCTTGAACTCAAGGTGACGCTGCCAGAACCAGAAGACTCCCATAATGATGAACGAGACGACGATAAGGACCGAGATCCAAGGAGTCTTCCAGCCAACAACGTTGCCCTCAGTGAGAGCCAACATCAAGGCCACGAGGCCAACGGTGATCAAAGCTCCACCGATCCAATCAACCGATTTTCTTGCGCTGACACCCTTCTTAGGCAACGTTGGCACAACGGGAGGGATAAAAAAGATGCCCGCGACAGCGACCAGGCCTGCGAGGATAGCCATGACACCGAATACCCACTTCCAGTTGGCGTACTCGGCGATGAAGCCAGATAGAATGGTGCCGAAGGTGCTTCCCAGGGGCACGCCAGCTCCGTATGCCACAAAAGCATACGTCTTCGCCTTTCCAGGTGGGAATGTTGTTCCAAGGATTCCAATAGCGGTTGGTACGTTGGCGGCGGCGCCTAGACCTTGTAAGCCGCGGAAGACATTGAAGGCGATCTCGTTGGGGATGAAGGGGTTTGCGATGGTCATTACGGCGAGCCAGGCAGTGCCAGCGATGAAGATGATGCGCTTGTCATAGATGTCTGCGATACGGCCCCAGAGGAGTAGGAAGCATCCAAACGTGAGAGA